AAAATATTTGGATATCTGCAAATGGATCGATTGAAAACGAGGACTTGAACCAAACGATAGAATAAAAACGACAACGATTAGAAAAAAACAATGGATTAGAAGCAAGAAAAGAGCTCTAAAAACGACGGGGATTATCAAAACGACAACATTGAATCAGAGTGCGAGCGAGGAGTCGCGGGCTTCGCTGGTGAAGCCCATAAAGCACTAAAGCCCAAGACACTGCAAGTCAGTCACTGAAGACTTTAAAGTCAAGCAGAGAGAGAGAGAGAAAACTTCCCAGATCTTCTGCGTCTCCATTTCTGTCTCTCGAGCTTCGCTTTAAGGTCGAAAATGGAGGAAGGAACCGTTTCGAAACCAGTGGCGGTGCTCGCTTGCGCGGCCATGGCGGTACTCTACGTCGCGATTCTCTACGCTCCGACTCTGCTCCTCCGTCTTCCTCACCCCTCTTCGTTGAAGAGTTTCATGATCCGCCGCTTCATCTGCGCCGCCATTTCCTCTCTCCTCTCTTTCCTCCTTTCCTCTCTCATCCTTCCCGTATGCTTCTCCTTTGTTCTCGTTCTCTTACTTTTCCGCAACTCTTCCCCCTAATTCTGTAGAAATATTCATGTATTTTTCATTTTCGCACAAGAATTAAGCTCACAGTTTTTCCACTGAATAAAGCCAGATGAGAAGCGTGGAGGTATGGGAACTACTCAGCGCTTATGGCGTCCGAGCAGATCATATCGTGAGTACCAAATTTCACATCGCACGAATTTAATTTTGTAATTAGCGGTAAAAGAAGTCATTTTTGGTTAATTACGTTGTTAATTGAGAAATCTTTGTGTGTAAAACAGTGGCAATCTGTGGCGTTTCCTCTCTCACTGACATGTCTAATGTACGCCGGTTCCTTGGTCCTCAAGACTCTGTTATTGATCGATTCGTGTCGTCGATACACGGATTCTGTTGGAGGATTTTCGTTTGACTGTGCCAACTATGCCTTGCGAAGTACTCTTGATAGGGGAATTTCAGTCGCTTACAGTGTTCTGGCTTGGCGTAATTATGTTGTGGTTAGTAGTAATATGCTTCGTAATTCGTATTTTAGTATCGTAATTTAGCTAATTAGCTTAAATTTTGGTGCTTTCCTTTGTATTTTTACATTAATTGTATATAATGCAGGCCCCACTTACTGAGGAGTTGGTCTTTAGAGCATGTATGATACCATTACTTCTATGTGGGGGTTTCAAAATAAATACAATAATATTCCTGGGCCCTGTTTTCTTCAGCTTGTGTAAGTTAGTTTTGGATTTTTCTCTACTGGGATTTCTTGTACCAAATGAAGTGGAAAATGAAAACTAAGTTATTGGTTAGATGTTTTTGTTGATCTTGGAATAAGGTTTACACATGGCTGATTTATACCCTCTATTGAAGAAATGACTTCAAGGAGAAAAAAGAAAATTGCAAAACATCACTGTCTATATAATTGACATCAAAAGCCATTTCATGAAGTAGCAGTTTTGGTTTGTTACTTCGATTCTAGAAAACGAAAAGTATAAAATGTTAATGCAAGAACCACCAAATTGTGCTCCTTATACATTAATGTTTTATTTTTGTACTGATCGCCTTGTCTTTTTTGTCTCATACATTTCCAAATTTGATTAAATTATAGCTTAAGGCCGTTCCTTCTGCTTTTTCACACTGAATGCTGCAGTAAAAGAAATCCTACAGCATATTCAAAATTTATTTTGGCCGATCTTTAAGATCTTCCAAAAAGTTGTATTACTTCTCAGCATCTCTCCTTCTTACGTCAGCTTGTCTAACATATGACGTGGCTGAACTTGGAGATGAACTAGTATTTCTTGTGTTGATGTTTTCTTTTTCTTGCAGCACATTTGAATCATCTGATGGAGGTCTATAACAGGCAAAACTATAACTTAATCAAAGCTGCCCTGGCCGTAGGTGTGTTCTTTTGATTACTAGAATTGTATTGATACAGGTCCTCAGAATTTAGCTTGGCAATAGGTTTTTTTTGAAATAATATTAGAAAGAAATGTTGGTTTGCTTCTCTCTCTCTCTCCCCCCTCAGAATTTAGCTTGGCAGTAGGTTGCGTTACATATATACAAATTTTTCGAAATGATATTAGAAAGAAATGTTGGTTTGCTTCTCTCTCTCTCTCCCCCCTCAGAATTTAGCTTGGCAGTAGGTTGCGTTACATATATACAAATTTTTCGAAATGATATTAGAAAGAAATGTTGGTTTGCTTCTCTCTCTCTCTCCCCCCTCAGAATTTAGCTTGGCAGTAGGTTGCGTTACATATATACAAATTTTTCGAAATGATATTAGAAAGAAATGTTGGTTTGCTTCTCTCTCTCTCTCCCCCCTCAGAATTTAGCTTGGCAGTAGGTTGCGTTACATATATACAAATTTTTCGAAATGATATTAGAAAGAAATGTTGGTTTGCTTCTCTCTCTCTCTCCCCCCTCAGAATTTAGCTTGGCAGTAGGTTGCGTTACATATATACAAATTTTTCGAAATGATATTAGAAAGAAATGTTGGTTTGCTTCTCTCTCTCTCTCCCCCCTCAGAATTTAGCTTGGCAGTAGGTTGCGTTACATATATACAAATTTTTCGAAATGATATTAGAAAGAAATGTTGGTTTGCTTCTCTCTCTCTCTCCCCCCTCAGAATTTAGCTTGGCAGTAGGTTGCGTTACATATATACAAATTTTTCGAAATGATATTAGAAAGAAATGTTGGTTTGCTTCTCTCTCTCTCTCCCCCCTCAGAATTTAGCTTGGCAGTAGGTTGCGTTACATATATACAAATTTTTCGAAATGATATTAGAAAGAAATGTTGGTTTGCTTCTCTCTCTCTCTCCCCCCTCAGAATTTAGCTTGGCAGTAGGTTGCGTTACATATATACAAATTTTTCGAAATGATATTAGAAAGAAATGTTGGTTTGCTTCTCTCTCTCTCTCCCCCCTCAGAATTTAGCTTGGCAATAGGTTGCGTTAGAAATATACAAATTTTTCGAAATAATATTAGAAATAAATGTTGGTTTGCTTCTCTCTCTCTCTCTCCCCCCTCAGAATTTAGCTTGGCAATAGGTTGCGTTACATATATACAAATTTTTTGAAATAATATTTGAAAGAAATGTTGGTTTGCTTCTCTCTCTCTCTACCCTCAGAATTTAGCTTGGCAATAGGTTGCGTTACATATATACAAATTTTTTGAAATAATATTTGAAAGAAATGTTGGTTTGCTTCTCTCTCTCTCTCTCTCTCTCTCTCTCTCATCATATCCAACGGGTTAAATGTCATTTTTCAGCTCTACAGCTTGGCTACACCCTGGTCTTTGGATCATATGCATCCTTCCTTTTCATTCGAACTGGTACGTGATAACTTACTGACTATATATTGTCACAAGTACGATTGATCATTGAAAATTTTGCTTTTAGATTGTTTATTTTGTGGCGCATCACTGGTTTGAGGATATTATAACTAACTCGTATCAAGTATAACTAAAAGGGCACTGATTCGCTGGTCACATGAAATTTGAATAAGAATTTACATCATCATTGTGATAAGCCCCTTCATTTAGTTAAGAAAGCATATTGATTTGATCAATTGTCCGCCATGTAAAGATCACTGTTTCAATGTTTGTCATCAACTAGATTGTTACGATAGGTTGTTTCTGTTTTCTCACGATACCTATTTAAATAATTAATCGATGCATGCAATGTTTAACCTACGCAGGACATCTTCTAGCTCCATTAGTAGCTCATATATGTTGCAATTATATGGGACTGCCTGTTCTTTTCTCAAGAAGTAAAGGTACGATGATAAGGCCATTTGGAATTTCGCATACATGACTGACTGATAATAAGCAAAATCTTCTCATCTGATTGCAATTCTTTTTCTATTGTCTCTCTGTTGAGATTTCCAGTCGTGCATCTATGATCTCCTTTTTTAGATAATAAGCAAAATATTCTCATCTGATTGCAATTCTTTTTCTGTTGTCTCTCTGTTGAAAGATTTCCAGTCGTGCATCTATGATCTCATTTTTTTAGATTCTTAATAGCCTGTTTGTATTGCTGCGGTTCAAACCTTTTTGCTACAGTATTTCATGTCATGAATGTTCAAATTTCTGTTTAAATCTACAAACCAAACGGGTCACTAGTGCTGTGTGGCTGCATATTCACAATTTTTTTACTGAGAGAATTATCAAACTTACCTTTAAGAGTGCATGAGCCTTGACTTTTACTCTTTACTCTTCATTAATACCCTTTTGACTGATATAGTTATTTGACTAAAAGCATATTGATCAAAAGTGAGGGGTAAAAAATCTAGACTAGTGCACTTTAAGTGGGTATTTGCCTCCTTTTCCCTAATGTGCTAGCAAGTTTCATTTTATCTTGCCAATCGTTTTTCAGGAATTGTAAGCGTGGCATTTTTAGCTGGGTTGCTTGGCTTCTTGTGGCTTCTTTTTCCAATGACAAACCCGGATTTGTACAATGATAGAACAAGTAACTGCAGATGTTGGCACGGATATTGTTCTTGGAGATGAACCTGTAGAATCTTCATTGAGAAACTATTGTTTACTATTTTTTGCTCTGAGCTCCCAAATGAAACCGTGTAGAATTATTTAATTTTTTTAATTTACCATGGCGCTTTCTTTGATTGCCAATTTATAGCTTAATTATTTCCTCTTGTCTCCCCTGGAAAATGGAAACCACCCTCGCTTTAAATCAACCACAAACTTTTTAGTAATTTCAATTTATAAGTGATATTCTTTAATATAACAACCTTTTAGTAATAATAGTTATATTCTTTATTACTATTATCTTTGCTATTATTGATAAATCATTTTGTTGATATCTATCGAACTAATAGGACAAGTGTTATTTTTGAACTTGCTCAAGTTTCAGCCCAAAAAAAAAAGTTATTGGCACAAATGGTTCCCAATCTATTAAGTGATAGTTTAGTTTTTTAACTTTTTTTTAGCAAATTGATCCCCTAACCTTTTAAAATAGGTGTAATCTGGTCTTTTCTGTTAAGATACGTCCAAAAGCTAACAAGAGAAGGTACATGACTGCTCACGTGACCCATTAAGTTGGGGTATATGTGTAAAAACACATTCTTGGTTGAATTGGGGTGATTTATACGTAAAAATCCTAGGGTTTTTGAAATTTCTTCAAATTGGGGCAAATTGGGGCTCAACACGATGGTGCTGGAGAAGATGGAGAGGGCTGGTGAAGCTCGGGGCCTCCGGCGAGGGCTCTCACTTTGGGATGATGCACCACTCTCTGACAAACGGTGTTGAACACGTGAATGGAGGGAAAAACGACGCTAAACAGAGGTGAGTACCATCGCCGTTGTCATGAGTTTGAGCTTCTTCTCCTCGTCGGGCACCATCATTGCTAGGCATATTTCGACACTACAAGGCTTCAGATGCAGACGATTGAGATACTTCCGGTAGCAGTGGAGGAGATGAGGATGGGTTATGATGGCCGCCATGGCTGGTGCGAACATCGTCGCTGTCGCCGTGGCTGGGCTCAATTTTGGTAGTTCGTTGGGCGAGATTGATCCGAGTTTGTCAAAATTTCGGACGTTGTCGTTAGTTCGATTAAGAGATTGATGAATCTCTTCAGGAAAGGCATCAATTGTGGACTGTTTGCTTTGAAATCAAGGGACGTCGACCTTAATTTCAAAATCAGGCTTGTTTGGTGAGTGTAGATCTGGGATTGTTCATTGTTTTAGTTAGCTTTGCTGGATTCATGTGTTAGCTTTGTTGGATTCATGTGTTGATGAGTATAAGCGATTGTAATGATCGTGGTGATGAGAAGAGTTATGGTGGTGCTCGGAAAAGGATGGTGGTGGTGGTTTGGTGGAGATTATAGTGGGTGATGAATTTATTTTCTTTTTGGGCATTTCAATCATTTTACTGAAAACGATGGTCGCATGATAGGTCAAGTGCCTTCTCCCGTTAGTTTTTGGACGGATCTTGAAAGAAAGGGTCAGATTGCACCTATTTTAAAAAGTTAGGGATTAATTTGTCAAAAAAAAATGTTGAGAATTAAACTGTCACTTACTAAATAAGTTGAGAACCATTTTTGCCGATAACAAAAAAAAGTGTTCAAGTTGTCCCACTAGTTATTTTTCTATTTATTACCTTCATATATAAACTCAAAATTAGTAAAAGCAGTATACCAATAATGTTTTACTTGTTTGATCAAATTAACTACAATTGGTGCATTTAGAAATATTAGAAGGGTAATAACAAAAAATCTTCCGAGTCTTTTCAAAATGTTGCAAATAGCTCCTACATTTGAGAGATGTGACACTCATGCGTTTTACAATTCATGTTAAAATCATCATCTCTTATTTCTGATCAAAATAGCAATTTAAAAAGACAATTATAGCCTTAGTTTGGAACTTTATTTTCAGTTAAGAAACTTTTCCAATAACGAAACAATCCTTTATTTTGTAAATAATAAACTTTACCAAATGTAATGTAAAAAGAAAATCAATACCCTTAAACCATTAAAAAAAAAATCATATTATTTTAGCACAAAACTGAAGGTGTTGGATTCCCAGATGTTAAAATTTAGTATTAATTCCACTCGTGCCCTCTAAACATTAGGGCCATTTTAATTTTGTCCCTTAAATTTTAAAAACTCTCACTTTACCTCTTGAATTTTAAATTTCTCACATTTAAGTCCTGTAAGAATTTTTGTTAAAATTAAACGGAAAAAGAAGAGGTTTGTGATCATGTAGTTTTTATCTGTTTATTTTTAACAGATTTAAATAGAAAGATCACGTGATTGTATTACTCTTTTTTTATATATGTTTTTAACAAAAATTACAATAGAATGGGTTAAGTGAGAACAATTTAAAATTTAGAGGGTAAAGTACTAATTTTTAAAGTTCATGAGGTAAATTGAAAATGACCTTAAAGTTTAAGAAGCACAAGTGATAATAATCTTAAAATTTAACATTTACATTTTAATTTAGCACTGCATTAAAAATACACTTCCGAAGTAAGTTGTGAGAAATGGTGCTATATGTGCAATAATTGTTTTTAGTGTCATTTAAAAAATAATCCAAATTTTTAACAATAGTAGGACATATCAACTCAAAATTTTTAGTCTTATGTTGGTTCTCAAAGTTCGACTTTCACTAATATTTTTAACAATAGAATTTATGCATGTTATTATCATCACTATTATTCTTACTACTATATGATTATTACTATTACTAGTATCAAGTAATAAGGTGGGCCAATCAACTAAAGTAAACACTTTTCAAAAGTTTTTATTTTTTTATTTTTTATTTTTTTAAAAAAGATCAATAACGTAAGTCATCTTGCATTAGAACTTTAGAAGTCGATATGGTATACAAACACTTTTTTTTTTTTTATCCAGTGATTCAATAAATGATAATATTTCACATGTCAGTCCATTGTCATTATTATTATTATTATTATTATTATTCGTATTTTATGAATTATGGCAGTCCATTATTGGAGGTAGAATGGAGTCAACTATTCATTTCTTCTTTTATATTATCTCTTTGATTCAACGTTTTGTTTTTGCGTTCAACGTTATAATCAAATTGTATTCGTAGCCAGTACACTTTTCCTGCCAAAGAAATTTTGTTCGGATACAATATATATATATATATATATATATATATATCTTGAACAAATTGATCAATCAAAAATATAGGCCTCTGATCATTTGGAACAAAACTAGGATATTTTAAGCAAAAACAGTAGGATATTATGTTAGAAAATATCTTTGATGTAAAGCATCTATCAAAATTCAGGAAATATTCACCTTAAATCACAAAGAATTAATAGAATAATAAGTGAAAACGTACCTGAATCCATAACAGTTAATTACCTTTTAGAGCAGTGCAATTTATCTTCTAGATCAATACATTTTTTTAGAAAATCTTTTAACTTTATTTTTACTCTCTGATGATAGGATATCAGAAAAGAATATAATAGCAATACATGTAATATGGGAATCATAACTACTATATAAAAATAACTTATCTGTTATCTTTTAGTATTTTTATTTTTATTTTAATCTATCATAAAAATAAAAATTATCCTTAAGTCTCTACACATTAAAGGCCAACGCCCTATTAAATACATTAAAGTCTAAATTACTTATCTTATCCCGATTCGAATCATAGTTCGTGATTCGCTACAGTGTTTTCTCTCACACAAAATACACTTAAATTAAAAATGATTCTAATTTCATGATTCTAATCCATGAACCAAACGTCTCCTTAATCTTATATAACAATTTACAACACATAATTATTCACATATAAATCTAATATTAAATTAAGGATCCAACATATTATACTTCATAGACTTAGGCTGTATTATTATTATTTATTTAAAGCTCCTTACAGATTTGAATCGTATTAGATATGGTTATGATGACCCAATCTTATGAAGATACTCTGCAAAAAAAATTATAACTAAAACAAGTTAAAAGCCAAGAGTAAACCCACATTATGGATAGAAGAAGATTGGTTAAAAGTCTGAGTAACCGCACATGATGCTCTAAAATTTAGGGCTTTTAATTCAATATTGACAAGACCTTTTTGTTTTCAAGTGAAATGGTCAGTAGTAGTCTTTCCTGGTCTTTCAGCAGGTGCAACTTTTGAACCTCCAAATTGACTTGCCCGGTTCGATATATCATATCCATGGATTATGTTTGTATGTATGTATCATGTACATTGATATAATATATTACATATATAAATACATATATATGTACTTGAGATCTCGCCAATATTATTTGGCCTTGACAATAAGACAAGTTTTCTTTTTAGTTATTTGATTAAATTTCAATCGCGTTATTTATGTGCTAGAGTATTTTCATAGTATAGGATGCATTATTTCTCACGTAGACATTTATAAAGGAATCGGACTGTTAAAAGCTCCTAGTTGTTTAGGCAAAAACAAAATTTTCTTCATGAGGACGATTGTAACATTTTATAATAACTGTAAATGTATAAACAAACTAAAAAATTATTTATCCCAAGTCAATAATACATTTTTTTAACATTTTATGTTAAATGTCGTGTTATAATAATTTGACAACAAAAACTCATATATATATATATATATAAACATGTGTGTAACATGTATGGTGGCATCAGAGAGGATATGGAAGAGGCATACAGGTGTAGGCAGCAGGAGGGGGTTTGTTTGAAAGGTTAGTTGGAGATTTCTATCAAACATCAGATGTGTGATTTGACATTCTTTATGTTATCTATCTGGAGAGTTCTTTTTCTTTCTTTTTGATGGGTCAACGGGGGGCTAATATTTATGCCCATCTGAGTCCTTTGTCATGTCCATGGACTATGGAGTTAGTTTTTGATATATTGTTTGTTGTGGTGCCACTTTTTTCAAACTTAATGAGATCTGATTGACTTTGTTTTCTTTTCTTTTCTTTTCTTTTCTTTCTTTTCATCTTCCTCACATATATATATATATATATGTATATATATGCTGAATCTTTGATGACGTTGCACCTCTGATTAGATCCTCTCCCATCACTCTCTCCTAAGACAGAATCTGAAGGAAAGTCCCCTTTCATATCTATAAACAAACATTTTTCATTTCTCTTTTCTTTTTCTTTTCTATTTCTATTCTATTTACTAATGTATATAATATATTCTGCCTTGACAAGAACAATCTTATTCGTACTCATTTTCATTAATAAAGCCTTATTGTGGTAATAAATTATAATGTATAATATGTTCTTTCCTTTGACAAGAACAATCTTTATCTCTCTTTCAAAAAACAAAAACAAAAACAAAAACAAAAAAAAGAAAGAAAGAACAATCTTATCTCTAATAAAGACTTATTTTTCTTTTCATGTTTTTAATAAGAGCATTTGGTGTTGGAATTGGCAAGTCATTTTTAGCATCTTGTTCCTTCTATTAACTGTTAGATATTTTTATGAAAATTAAGGATAAATTGTAAAATTGACATTTTGAAGAAAATATGATGATGCTAAGAGAATATATGATGGCTAATGAATTAGGAAGCATTTGGTATTGGTATTGGCAAAGCCATGTTTAATATATTTTTCCTTGTGTAACTATTAAAAATTCTAATAAAACGATTTAACTGTGATTGCCAATTTGAAGAATATAAAATTCTGCCAAGAATGATTTCACTGAGCCATTTTGACATTGGATATCATATTAAATATGTCAAAATTCAAAAACTATGGAATTTGAAGACAAGAGAAGAGAACTTAAACTACACTAATAACATTATATTGCTTTCTAGCAGATAGCTAGCTTGATACACCAACTGTATTTATGATATTTCATATCCTAACCCCCCTTCCAAAAAAAAAAAAAAAAAGATGATAAAATGGTAGAAACATAAACACAAGTAAACCCCCTATATATATATATATATATATATATAACTAAAACTGGAGACACTAATACTACTATTGACTAAGGTAATTCACAAAAGAAGTAAGCCTTAGTGGGGTCATGACACTTTTTTTTTTTTTTTTTGGTTGCAAAACCCAACTACTACAAAAGATATGATATTGATATTTGATCAGTTGCTAGAACTGGAAGGATTTTGCTGGGCAGAACCTGAGGAGGACATGTTAAGATCAGGAATCGCATTTTTGCCATTATTATTGTTATTGTTCTTAGAGTTGCCCTTGGAGAGTTTCTGCTTAAGCTCAGAGAGAAGTGCTTGATTCTCTTGGTTCAGAAGTTGTGCTTTCTTCCTCAACCTCTCATTCTCTTTCATTATGTAACAGTTTTGCAAGTACAGCTTTGAGTTCAGCCTTTCCATTGCTATCCACCCCCCAAAAAAAACAAAGTATATGAAAATCTCTTTTCTCAGATGTAATATTGCACCTGAAAAACAAAACTCAACCAATGTTAGGACAACATAGAAGATTCTGAAAATACTATGTTTTTTTTTTTTTTTTTGAATTAAAGTGACAATTCATATGAAAAAAATATGTTGTACATATATGGTCAATGAGAGAAAATTTTTACCAACTACCAAATCAATGAAATAAGAAGAATGTAAATATCTCACTTCTAGTTATTGCTTTGGTGGATATAATTGGCAATAGGAGACAGGGGAATACAGAGCATGTGCAGGACAAGAATGAAATACTTTTTGGACCACTTTGGCAAATAAATAGAGCAAGTGGGTATGTTTGGGAAGTAAAAGGAAAAAAAAAAAAAAAAAAAAAAAAAAAAAAAAAAAAAAAAGGGGGGAAATGGGAGATGGGGAATAAGAGTTGTCTGAAACTGCACTTCATTGAAAGAACCAAAAAAAAAAAAGAAAAAAAAAAGATTTCTTTCGGTTTTCCAACATGAAAGAAAAGGATAAAGGTATGACAAAATCATAACTGCAGATTTGAACTCTCAAGTGTGTTCACTAGATTATACGTGTATTCAGGGGAAAAAAAAATCCTTGGCTTTTTTTATTTCAACTTAAGAGATGGTCTTATTAAAAATAAATAAATAAATAAAGGAGGAAACAATATTATTAAAAATAAAAAAAGTGGGGTGTTGGAGAATCCTAGAAGAGAAACATTCTAAAGGCAAAAAACATTCCCTCCTCAAAATGAGGTGCGGGGAAATAAAGCCAAAGGAAACCAAACAATGGGAAAACTCTTCTTAAGCAACAATACAAAACAATCCTAAATGAAGTGGCAAAAAAGATAACAACAAAGAAAAATAACAAACACATACAAAAACTCCAAATGAAACAAAACAAAGTCCTGCCTCTATTAACACCATGTTTGTCTCGCTCAATGAAAGTGAAGAGCAATGAGAAAACTGAAAAACATGAGAGAGAGAGAGAGAAATTTAGAGGTGGGGGCCTCTTTATCTTTTCAAAAAAGATCACCTTTTCAAGGTTGGTTTTGGAGAAGCTTTGGCCAAGGAAGTGCTAAGCTATTCTATCTCTCTCTTTTTTTTTTTTTTTTTTTTCTAGTAGTAGAGCGGTAAAAACAAACAAAAGGAAGAGTTTGTAAGAAGTGAGGAAGAAAGTGAACAAGGACGCTGTTAATTTATAGAAGAGCAAATGGTAGAGAGAAAAAAGAGAAGAGAAAAAGGAGAAAACAGAGAAGCTCATGAGGAGGAGACATGCCCCTCTCTCTCTGACACAACAATCATGCAAGTGTAAGCATGGAAGGCGGCCGGTTAGGGAAGCCTAAAAGAAAAAAAATAATAATGATAATAATAACATTAATAATAACAAAATTTTTATTTTTTTATTTTTTTTAAATTTTTTTCCTTTGTTGGGTTTTCTATGCTTGTGATGGTGAATATGGCGTCATGTGAATGATGATGGTTTTTAAGGGCATTTTGGGGACAAAAAAGTGGCATTATGGGTATGAGAGGGACAATTATGGGACTCATGGCTAGGGCTTGTAAAATGATGGTGGGCTAGGCCGTCCCAAGATTCGCAATGATGGTTTGGATTGGGTTCGAACCATCATAACCTCACCCTCCCTCTTCTTCTTCTTCTTTGATATCTATCTTCTTCCTTTTACCTTCCCTCTCCATGATCATCAATTACTATTTTGTTTTTATTTACACCTTTTCTTCTATGTATCTATTTTTGTACCTCTATCATCTCATCCTTCTTCTTCTTGTGTTTGGGAACTTTTTGGCAATAATAATAATCAAAGCTTTTCACTTTTCTCTTTTACCATAATGTTTTCCTTCTTTTTTGTTCAAAATGGCGGTTTGGTTTGATTTGGTGCATCATGTATTTTGGCATAATCTATCGTATGGCAATTGGCATACTCTTGTTTTGTCATTTTTGCAACGAGTATATCTCTGTAATATATCTATTGGGTCACATCAAAGATTGCATGTTATAGCATAGGGGCAAACTTGGAACCCCATCTTAAAAATTTTAAAAAAAGGGTAGAGAATGGAGATGTTATTCAAATCATGATCTACCTAGATTAGTGTTTATATAAATATATATATATATATATATTCATGTATATAAAAAAACAAAGACAATAAAAAGTACTAATACTAAAAGGGAAATTCCCTAAACAAAAAAGCAGAAAAAAGAGTTATGTGTTGTAATGTTTACTATAGTTAACCGTATTAGCTAGTCATTATTACTTGTCAAAAGCTTGTTGGCATTTTCATGCTTGTGGGCTATTTCAAATATCCAATTAATGTAACCATTTTCATTTTTGGCCCTTTCTTTTTTGCTTTCAATACCTTGCACCGTTTGCACAATCAATAGTGGTTTTTTTTTTTTTTTTTTTTTTTTTTTTGTGGTTGTGTTATTAGTACAATCATAATTATAAGCCAAGATAAGTACCATAAGTAAAGCAGTATTTTATTGCCAAATTTAGGGGTGAGTTTGGAATAATTGGAGGAAGAGCAAGACTTGTAATTGGGGGGCCAAAGCCAGCCTCAAAGCCCTCATGGGTTATGAGTGGCTTAACGTGAAACATCATGGTTGACAGGTGGGTGTTTCGGATGGGTGTATCCTAGAGGGGCAAAATGGTCAAACTCGTCATGTTGACCCCTCGTGGAGCTCGTTCATTTCCCTCCTCATTTGGGGGCTATGCTTACATCAATGTAATTATGGGGTTTCAATCCGTGGGCTGGCAACGTTTCAAATTACCTTATTACCCTTAACGGTTCTTTTTTCTTTTATTTTGCCCTTTTCAACTTCTCTTTGGATCTTCTCTTTTTTTTTTTTTTTTCCTTTTTTTTTTTTTAAATTTTGTTCTTATCTCTTGTTCAAATCTACGACCATACCAGAAGCTTACTTGCTGTAGTTTGAAGTAACCCTAGTTTGCCATGTGCCCAACCTGCATACTTAAGTAGCTGTTTTTTTTTTTTTTTTTTTTTTTTTTTTTTTTTTTAAAGGAAAAAAAATCCTTTTCAAGAGAATTCCTAGTTAGGGCCTACAATTTCCCAACTTTTACAAATTTAAAAAGAGGAAAAATAATAATCACAAAGAGCATCACAATCTTGAGGCTCAAAAAAGAACAAAAAGAAGGTCATGACATCTAATGGGGTGGTATTTTTCTCGTTATAATACAGGTCACAAGTAGAGTTGTTCTCTCATAGTCGTTGGCGTCCAATTTGTCTTTTGCGTATATGGAACAGTACTTATAAGCATGGCAGCAAATAAAATATATATTATATATATTTATGGCGAATTCCTTAAAAAAAAAAAAAAGATACCTATATGATAAAATCATTGGAATTTCAAAGGATCAGAAATTATATATTTGAGGAAGGATAGTCATTTGAGAATCCCAAATACTGCCTAGCCCAATACAGCTAAAAAGAAAATTAAAAGAAGGTTAACCCCCTGATTGTTTCACTAGTTTAGTTCAGTTCAACTTAGTTTGAACTAACGTTTGGTAATTATGCAGTTTGAATTACATTTTCTGTTTAAACTGAGTTAAACGACCCAACTTAGAGTTTATCTCCCCATAAAGTTCACCCGTTCAAATTATTTTTGAACAGTAAAAAGTGTCCACTCTGTTTTTCATACCTACCAAACACAAATTTAAATTTTATTCCCTATTCAAAAAAAAAAATTATAACTACACATCTAAACGTCAATTCAAACTATAATTTAAACTATAAAGTTTTAAATTTTTCTTTTCAAATTAAAAAATTTAAACCAATAAAATTTAAACCACCTAACGAGGGCTAAGTCATCTTCTTAAACATTGTCTCGTGTTTGCTTGAATTTCACCGTTTGACAGACTTGTAAAAGTAAAAGTAAAATTTTGCAGGGCTAGGCAGTATTTGTTTGCTTTGAGAAATTAAATACTGTTAACTTTGGTAACTTATTGTATTTCTTATTGTTTCAATTTTGTGGTAGAATATATTAAACAAATACTTTACCACTAATGTATGGTTAATTATTAGATTTCGTTTGGTGGTAATTTCATGCCTCACTTTTATAATGTGTAAACTTCAAAACTCTTAGCCCTAAATTCAACAGAAAAAAAAAAATCGTTAAATTTTTATCAAATTTTTACACATATGATCTAACAGTTTGAAATGGTATCAATATTAAGATGACGTTTGACTTATGTATTCAGAATTATGATTCAAAATTATTCTCGTTTTATGTGTATTTTTTGTGAGAGAAAAACACTGTAGAAAATCATGAATCATGATTCAAAATTAGGGACGAATATAGGAAATAAACGTCCTAAGTTTTCTTGTTCTTTTTTATAGTCTAAAACATTTCATAATTTTTTTTTTTGAATTCTATAATAGGCTATAAAGAACAAACTCAAAGTGTAAAACACAATAATGAAGCGTTAGATCAGAACATGATTTTACCAATGGAGTATGGTTTAGAATCGCTAGATTTTTATAAAATTTCATTATAGGTTGACATTTTCAAAATCACATCATATTTTACCATTTCTTTTTTTTTTTTAGAATTCTATAATAAGATATAAAGAAAAAAACCCTACGAATAAAACACAACTATAAACCGTTAGATTACAACTGGATCACATAAAAAGTAAAATGAAAATGCAATGAAAATTGATGAAAATCTAGCGGTAAAACACTGCATAGGAACATAACTTTTATTTATTTATTTTTCCTTATATTGCCATTTTTTTTTGTTTATTAATTTTTGAAATCTATCTCATTCTTGTGGCAATTTCCTCCTCAAATCACATCAAGATGCACATATTTTTCTCTCATGTATACATATAAAGTGCAGCAAAATATATTATACAACATATCGTATACTTACAAGTGGGATTATATTAGAATAATGGGATGAGGTAATTGCTTATACAATTTAGTACGTAACATTAATTAATTTACATCTAACTAAAGTAACTGTTGGCTACATGTGCTTGGGCAATCCATTCGTCATTCAAACAATGAAGCAGTCAACCAGAAGAAGAACATATAGGGGGGCAAAAGGTGGGTTTGCCCAGACGTGTAAGAGAGAGAGAGAGAGAGAGAGAGAGAGAGAGAGAGAGAGAGAGAGAGAGAGAGAGAGATTGTGTCTAAAGTGTGACAAATTTAAGGCTTATAAATCTGGTCTGAAACAACAAATGATGGCAAAACCCAAACAATAATGGTTCTCTTCCCCTAGTAATAATCCTTCATACCCCCCTCTCTTAAATAGCAATTTTGCTTTTTGCAGCAAATTGACTCTCACCCCTTTATTAAAAAAAGAAAAGAAAAATTGACAAAAAAGCAAAAAAAAAAAAAAAAGTAAAATGGGGTTTAATGATTTAAAGGGGTTAGGGGGTTGTTTGTTTTCATAAATGTGTTATGGCAGTGGTCAAGAGATTTTTGCATGGCCACAGATAACAGGCATTCATGAACACCCATCATCATGTACATTGCCTATAATTACAATTATGCAGAGCCACCCCCATGTAGGTAATGGCCCTTCATTTACTCAAAGAAAGTGATATACATTTATATATATATATATATATATATATATATATACACACACACACACACACATACACATATAAAAGATATATATTGCATGATTGCATCACCCATGGAATTTGATTTGACATCGTTTGATGGAAGACACGTGAAGGTTTAAGATTTTCATAATTTTAGACCCCATTTTCATCATAAGTAAGTTTGTGATATTATCAGATAGGGGCTTTATGTGACGTTTTCTTCATAGATTTAGAATCATAATTTGTAATTCTAATTTTTAAAATTTAAATTTTTTATGAGAGAAAAATACTATAAAAAACTAAAAAATATGATTTAAAACTAAAAACGAACCATTAAAACAAACATCCTTTACGTGACCCACAGGTAATGAGTTGGGGTGATTTATTTTAACCAACCCAAGCTCATGACCTCATCAACATCCACAAAAGCTTTAAATAGTGTTATATATATATATATATATTTATATATATTTTTTATGATGTCGTTTTTAATGATTTCACATAATACCAATCCCTTCATGGCTAATGATGAATTTCTACATTATCATGGTTATTTAAGTGCCTTGAACCCTACACGTGAGCATAGGGCTTGATAATTTTAACTTTAGGGTCGTCAATTTAGGGGACCACATGTGTAAAGACTCCCACCCATTTGGGTTGACACTGTTCTCTATATTTACATATATATATATATATATATATTCTTTTTAAGTTTCTTCAAAAAAGACTCTCACTTGGTTTCCTTCTCCTCGAAGAAAATTAAGCATGATTTAGCGTTCCAACCAATATAAAAATGTATGATTCCTTGGCTTTAAGATATTGGTGGAAACAGGAAATGATGAATATAAGTTGAGTACTTATACTTGACACAAATATGAACATAATGTGTTAAGTATTTGTTATCCAATTTAGGTATAAGTATTCAAAATGGAGTTTACCACAACTATAATCATTCATAGCCTACCCATGTACTTGAGCCGAAATTTCTCGACTGATCCACAAAACTTAATGCGGCTGATGGTAGAATAAAGAAGGAGAATAGTTGGACTTAAACATGAAAAGAAGTTAATTTTCTAATGTTACTCTCCCACACACAATCATTCTCCTTCAAAGGAATAATCAAGTTCGTTTGGCAATTTGCAGCCTTAGTGTTAGAACTAGGGCGGCCTATGCATTGAGCAGTGTCGCCACAAAAAGAGTTACAACCATCAATGCTATTGTAAAATGGTACAGTGTTGTCCATTTGCAGCTGAAAAGTATTTAAAAACACCATCGATGATAAACAACACTGCTAATAGAAGGTGGGTCCCATGTTGCGGAACTCACCTTTCCATGATTCAGGGATGCTCAACTTATCCATGGATTGAAGAGTTAAATATGTGGTGACTAAACGAATTCATTTTCTTTCTTGTATTCTAGGTAAGAACATTTATCAGAATATAGCATCATATTGTACATTCCATCAAAGAGTCTTTATAAAGAGGTATGATTTAAAGAGAAAGAGAAGATCTTCTTTAACTTTAGACTAATTAACCAATATGCCTCTTTTATCCACAATCCAAGAGGGGCCACCAAAAAGGCGACAACTATTTATTCTCGTTAATTTGGTGGAAGTACCACAAGATATATTCACTCATTGAAGAAATGAAAAGTCCACATCACAGCAACATTCATAAATAAGGAAATAATGACCACGTTTGACTTTAGAACAAAAAAAACATAGTTATGAACCCAAAAGGATAATGCTCAAAATTTAGGAGGCACAAAAATGTGGTGGTGTCGTTTGGTTAACCACATTGGTATTATTTTACAAACTATTATAAGCTATTGATGGTCGGCACATTGAATTGAAATGTAAGGACAGATTAACAAGTTTGTCAACAAGATTTTTCACCTGGCAACAATGGGAATCTTATAGTTTGCTTGTGGTTGAGCTGCAATATAATCAATCAATAAGATGAGCTGCAATATAATCAATCTGGGATCTCAATAGCAAATTCTTCTTCTTCAGTGATCATTGCTTCCACATTGTTCAAACATATCCAGCTGCAAACTTGCTGTGTTGGGCTCACCTATAACAAAATACAACTTTAGAGTCTCTGTTTACAACGAGTTCCATAGGAGGAAATCAATTGATGCATAAGATACGAATCAAGAAAAAAACCCAACAGGGAATCTAGTTAGAAATCATCACATCAAAACAAGACAAAAAAAGAAAAAAAGAAAAAAAAAAAAAAAAAGAAAAGAAAGAAACTGATGTACTAGTTTTCATCAGTGACTATAATTGTTTACCAAATACTATTGTCTTTTATAGTACCTTCTGTTCTACAAATATGAGTACTTTCCAATAGGGTTAAGAATATTTGGAAAAGAAAACAGGCGTATTTCCCTGCCATATATTTGAAATCTGATTCCAGACTGGCACCTTAATCAAGTTTGCCCAACAAAATATAGTAAGTGAAATAATTAGATATACCCATGGAGAAGACTTTGCCCTCTTAAAATCTTTTAAAATCTTTGGAAAGTTGTTGGGTCATTTTTTATCACTTAATTCTGTAAAATACTAATTGAAAATTAAATAAAACTCGTGTTTCTCCTTATGTTAAAAACAAAGTAAATTCTTGTTACTTTCATAAACACCAAGCTTATTAGCTTTGTTGATCTAAGAAAAGGCCTAACATTTTTGGCACATCATATCTAATCTAAATAGCACATAAAAATGAACTAAATAAGCATTCTAATACAAACAGAATGACAATACATCATTTTCTCAACATAGATGCTTACAAAAAAATTGAAAACAATATTTATCAGAAAATAGAATGTCTTTAAAAAGAATCTCAAGCACAAAAATTTGAGCCCTCTTAATAAAAATAAAATAAAATAAAGCCTCAGAGGAAGCATTTAATTTGACGAAATTATAACCACAATTCCCATCTCTATAGTAAACAAAGTATAGGATGAAACTCAAGTAAAAAATGATTTATTTGCATGGTACTGTATTTTTATTTTTATTTTATCTTTTTTACTTCCTTTGAAAAGGCAAAGACTTTTTGCCCTCTTTTTTCCCCTTTCTTCTATGTTGCTATTAGCAATTAGTTGGAACTTCATTCGAAGTATAAACAATTCCTAAAAATATGAAATTTCATGCTTCATTTCCAAGGAATTTCAAGTTTTCTGCTTCGGAAACAATAATATCCCACAATAAAAAATGTAGTTCCATGATCATATTAAGCATCAAAGATACATTTCTAATTCTACATTTCTTCCATAACTCAGAATCAGAAACTTTAATCTTCAAAGCGAAATAGAAAGAGACCTTGGCGAGGAATAGCTTTTTGGTTATGGAGGGAAGAAAACCCTAACTCCCAAAATCAAGCCCCGTACTGGTCCTCCTCTCTCCGATTGTATCCCCGCCATGTCCGATTCCGGCGAAGAACACGATGATGACAATGACATTAGAGCTCCAATTCCAGCTTCAATGGCGTCGGCCTGCATTCTCACTCGCCTCTGATGTCTCTCTGCCACTGTACAGAGAGAATCGTGTTGTCAAGTTGTCACGTTTACATACTTACGACGGTGCGTTTTGACTCTGGACCATCAAAAAGAGCGAGGATTCGGGCCTTGTTCTATTGATAAACCCCGACGACCCCGGACTGGAAAAAATAGAGAATTTAAGTGCATTAGTTTAAAATTTTATCTTTTATTTTTAATAAATATTTTTTTATTAATATAATTATTTAAATAAAAAAATTATGAATTAAGAATAAAAGAAAAAAATTTTAATTCATTTATTTTTAATGAGTATTTATCAAAATTATTCTAACAAACAGTTTATAGCGAGTGAGGTTATTGGGCCTTTTAACTCTCCCCACATGTCCTTCACTCTTTTTTGAGTTAATTACATGTATGTCAATTTTGCAAGAGATGAAAAAAAGTGCACAAGTTATGATATTTACAATAAGTGTGTAAATTAATCCACAATAACATTTTTATCCTTTTGTTAACTACTCTTAAAATAGTCATGCAAATTTATAACCAGTGGTGCCACCAACCAAATTAAAAATAATTTTAGATTATTATTATTGGTATCCTGAATTTTGAGGTCATTTTCAGTTTGCCTCTTGAATTTTAAAACTCTCACTTTACTCTCTGAACTTTGAATTTCTCCCACTTAACCTTTTATTTTGTAATTTATGTTAAAATTAGACATAAAAAATGGGAGTTTAAGTATAGTTACGTGGTTTTTATCTGTTTGTTTTTAACAAAAATTTAAACAGAAAGACCACGTGACTGCATTACTTTCTTTTTTCTATATGTTTTTAACATAAATTACAAAAGAAGGGGTTAAGTGGAAACAATTTAAAGTTCAGGAGGCAAAGTGAGAGTTTTTAAAGTTCAGGGGGCAAACTAAAAATGACCTTAAAGTTCAGGGGGAACCAGTGATAATAATCCTAATTTTTTCTTTTGGGCGGTTTGATATTTTTGACAAAATCCAAATTAAACCAAATCACTCATAAGCGGTGTGGGTGGTTTGAGCTTAAGACTAAAAAATTTTTCAATAATTCATAAAAATTATAAAATCGTTAATCAATAAAAATAAAAATAAGATTCAAGTTTATAATATGACTCAAAAATAGTAAATATCTAAAAGTTCACCATATAAAGTTTTAATAAAAACCAACAAAAATATGATAGGTGTATTTTATAAGTGTAGAACTTTTATAATGATCAATAAAAACTAAAATAAATATAAAAAATATTTTGAAAATAAAAAATTATATATGTAAATTTTTGAGCGGACTATTGGGTGGTTTGAGGAGTCCAAACCACAAACAAAACTGCCCAAAAAAATTAGATTAAAAAACCGATCACACTGCTTAATAATCTAAATATAATTAATGATTTTGTTTAGTTTAATTTAGATTTGACAGTTTTCGCGGTTTGGTGGATTTTTTGAACACCCATATTTATAACCCATCCACATAAAGGGTACAATTGGAATAATATAGTTCCAATAACCATAAATAGACAAATAGACAATAAAATTAAATTAAATACATATTCTAAACATAAAGTTCAAAAATGACCATTTTGGATAATTATGGAGATTTTTTTATTAAATACATATTCTAAACATAGAGTTCAAAAATGACCATTTAGGATAATTATGGTTTTTTTTTAAAAGAAATTTGGAGGAATGCCAAAAAAAAAAAAGCACCAAATTAGAGTTTTTGATTTGTTCACATAAATAAATCTGAATCACAAAGAAGTTGTACCTTAAATCTAAAAACACAAAAAGTTGTAGTGTACCACTTAAATTTGTGTTTCTTTAATAAGAGTGCAGGAATGGAATTAAGGGCAAAAAAAAATTTATTTTTACACCCTCTAATAAAAAGGCATTCCTCTACTATTTTACATTTCTTTAACTAACAATATGTTTATGTACGTCTTTTTACCATCAATTCATGATTTATAGAAAGCTTCTCGATGATGCTAGTATATTTCAAACTTTGATGCTACGAAGTGGAATTGTCTTTTGATACCTTATTAAGGAGAAAAAAAAATCATTGCCAATGAAGAAAAAGAGGAAAAAAAAAAAAAAGACAAGAAAGTAATAAGGTGATGAACATCACACAAATTGGATATATATGGACTTGAGAATTGAAATTTGTCATTTAATTAACCAGTATTTCCTAGAATTTTTCAGTTTAAAATTACCGAAACTTGATCTTCTCTTTTTATAATAACTAGATAGAAAAACGCTAACGGAGAATTATTTAAAAAAGGGAAAAAAAACTTTTTTTTTCCCTCTTGATTGCTTGAGTTTATCAATTACAATTTACAAGCAGGATCAGAGGATAGACTCGTGAGCCAAAAGGAGTCACTTGCTACGGCCTCATCATCTTGATTCCTGTGCCATGTCCACTGTGCATGGCTTGCGTTCACCACCTCTAGTTGCCCATGCCCAAAGCTAGCCTCTCTAAATAATGATATTTCCGGTTTTGGATCAATATACCTGTAATTTATAACCACAAAAACATTGCACCTAAGATTTATCTAATTGTAAAAGAATAGAAAATTATAGCAAGAAAACACTTGTAATTACCCAAAAAAAAAAAAAACTTACTTGCTAGCAAGGCCTTCACGGTTGCCGCCATCTCCAATGGTGATATGAACAGGACCGCATTTGTCAGCTTTGTCATTGTAAACGCGAGTCTAAGACAAATTATCAAAAAAAAAAAAAAAAAAAAAAACCAACATTGTGTATATTAGAGCCAACACTAAGCCTTTTTGCTCAATAAATATTCTAATTTAACAGTACACTTGGGGACAAAATGAATCCTACTTATTATCCAACTCAAATAAGTGAAAAAAATAACCTTTAAAATTAGGTTTCATGATTTAATGATATACATATATGTATATATATTGTTTGATTTGATAATATATATATCCTAAGATGCTAAAATGTGACATAAATTCATGTGTATTAGACGATCATATTTTAACATTTGATGGTGTGTATTTCATAACATAAAAGTTGGGTAGTGCTAAACTACTTGATGAAGGTTCCAACCCAATTCTTTCGTCTTATTTTCTTTTCAATTATCATATTAACTTTCAAAAACACTAACATAATAAAGTGCACATTATCAAAAAGAGATCCATATAAATTATAAAAAAAAAAAAAAAATTAGAGAAGGAACTCACAAAGCGCTCATAGGCATGGACGTGACCAGCCAAAACGACATCAACACGAGCACCATAAATGAGTTCTTCCATGGCCGCCTTCATGTCGTCGGACTCCGACTCGCCCTGATGAGCAGAATTGGAGTTGTACCACGGCGCGTGGATGACCACCACCACCCAAGGAGTCCTCCCTCGGTCCACCTTCCCCAGGTCATCCTTAAGCCACTTATACTGCACAGAATCACGGCCAAAATCGGCGTAGGAACCGAGCATGACGACGTGGACGCCACCCCCCGCGGCGTCGAAGGAGTAGTAGAGGTTGGAGTCGGAGCCGCTCTCCTCAAAGGGCATCCGCCACCGCGCGTTGTAGGCGGTGAAGGGCTGGCTGTGGACAAGGGGGATCTTCTCCACCTCGTGGTTGCCCTGCGTCACCATCCACGGCCGCTGCCGGGCCAGCGGCTCCACCAGCCGCCCGAAATTGTCCCACATTGGCTGGTCGAGATCGGCGTAGGATAGGTCGCCGGGGAGTAGTAGGATGTCGTAATTTGACTTGGCTAAGTGCTGGAGGGTTGAGGCAGTCCACTCGGTCTGTCCCAGATCACCTACATTAATTTTGCATTATATTCAACGTAGTGTTGTTCAGCAAAGTTGTGGTGTTGCTAATCTTGGACATGGAAGAAACGAGCTAATAAGAAAGCTTTTTCAGTAAAAATAACTTGCCAAAAGTTTTAAACAGAGAGTGATGCTCGGTTTAACAGAATTTGAGACATAATTTTAATTAAAGGATTAAATTTGAGACATCAGGGGACATTTGGTTGGATGATTCAAACCATGATTTGAATCATAGTTTATAGTTTATTACAATATTTTCTCTCACAAAAAATACACGTAAATAAAAAATAGTTATAATCACATGATTCTAATTAAGAACTTTCACTGCAGAAACTAATTTCAAAAAGAGCAAAAATAAAATTCAAAGACATCTCATCAATTTAACTCTTAAAATTATTGTGATATCGCTACAAGCCAATATAGGTAGGTCCTACATAACTTTCGATCGTGTTTCATATCAAACACAAAACATATCAATTTTTAAAAGACTATTCTCTAACTCAAAATAATTTTGTATCACGCGTTATGAATTTTATGAATTTTTAATGCCCTTAAAAAATTAATCTAACAGCTTATACAAAGTTCTTAAAGGTAGTATAAAAGAATAGTTCCTTCTGTAAAAACTTAAAATGAGAAATAATTTTAGACTGTGAATTACTTTAAGGGCTCGTTTAATTTGTTTATTTGAGTTTTTAATTTGAGTTGAGATGTGACTTTATGTGAGAGCTTTTTACTGTAGTAAAAAAGTTAGATATGACTGTTTCTTAGAGTTTTTTACTGTAACAAAATTCAAATTCTAAACTTGAATCGGTATAATGAACCGGGCTTAAATTACCAACGACTGCAAATTTGATGGGGAACTGAGCGGGTGGGGTTTTGAAACTGAATTCCGGGGACAAGTTAGGGCCACAGCGATAGTAGTAGACTGTGCTTGGCTTCAATGGACCAATGACAACATCACGTATGGCACCGGACTCGTACAAGAGATATTTGTATGAAGAAGTGGTTCCACTTGCTGTGTAGCCATAAGACCCGGGAGATAGACCATAGTCTACTTTTGCCAGAGATGATGAACTCTCTGTGATCCATGATACTCTCATTTTGTCATCTCCGACCAAAGATATATGCACCTGAAATAGGATTGTGAACACACACACACACATTAGGTAAGTTTGTCATGTCACAATATTGTTGTTCTGAAAAAAAACAAAAAAACAAAAAAACAAAAAAACTGAAGTGCTACCAAGATTGCAATGATATGTTCCTTCAGGAAGACTCGAGACTGTTTTTTTAACGATTTAAATCACAACTCATACTTTATTATTATAGTATTTTCTCATAAAAATTTAAATTTAATTTTTTTATTATAATGTTTACTTTCAAACAATTCAAATTCTTAACTTGAGTTTTGAAACAAACATGAGGTCAAAGTTGCATCCTACGCCTATTTGTCTACTTGATCCTATTTGTCTATTTGATCGGACCGTGGTAAACATATGTAAAAATGACTTAAAAAATGAAATATAACAAGAGAAAATAAGAGGAAAAGTCTTTAGAGTTTTGAGAAAGAAACACATGTTTATATCTTTTCAACTCTTTGCAAAAATGAATTAATAAAAAAAATTATCAGTAAAATAACTTTTTAAAAAGTTCAATTTATAAAATGACTTTAGATGGATCATTTGAGACCACTTACGGACGAAATGGTTGTTTAATGTAAAACTAAAAAGATCATTTTGCTACTTTCACTATAGCTAGTCGTTTCAACAAATTCTTTGAGTTGCAAAGGTTTAGGCCACGTTCATTTCGCCGATTTGAGTTTAAAATTTAATTTTTTTTACAGTAAAAAACTCTCAATAACAGTCACATTTAATTTTTTTACTAAAACAAAATTCTTACATAAATTAACATCTCAACTCGAATTAAAAACTCGAATCAACGAACTGAATACCTTAACTAATTACTTATTCACAATTTGTCAACCTTGAGTTTCGTTATTGTAGAGACAACTATTGTATAAATACTTTTGATAAAGTAGTAATAACATGTGATTATGATATAGCCAAGTAAAACTAGAGAGTGAGGACAAGAGGAATATACAAATGTCGCAACAAAAACACTGGTTTGAGAAAAATTTGCCGTGTAATAACAATTATCTAGTAAAACAGTAAAAGTTCAGTACTTGAACATAAAAAGTCTTGACTTTTGCTAACAAAACAAAAATTTAGGCAAATGTTAGGCATCACTCCAACCAAACGGCGCTAAAAGAATCTTTTAAGTGGACGTGTAATTCACGTATTCAGAATTATAATTTAAAATTATTTTTAATTTACGTAAATTTTTTATAAAAAAAATATTATAATAAATCACGAATTATAATTTAAATCATAACATAAATTCTTATACTAAACACTCTCTAAAAATCTAAACTTAATAGAAAAATAATAAATATAAATAGGGACCTTATTCAGTAACACGGTGAACTAGTCGGATCAATTTTTTATCGAATTTTATCAAAATCACAACAGATTAAAAATATATATAAAACATATAATTTTTTATATCGATAATTTATTTTTTCAATCTCATCAGAGAAACTCCCATATAAATAATTAGGATAAATTGTAAAAATGATCCTTAAATTCTTTAATAAATGATAATTTAATCCCTAATTTTTTTTTAATAAAACAACTCTCAATCTCTTTAAAAAATGACATTATTTCGTCAAATGCTGTTAAAATTTTTAAAAGTAACGTATCCCACTTGACTCTTTTTCAATAAAATGACTTAAATGCCCCGTTAGAAAAGCATTATTCTTCTTCGGTATCTCTCTCTCTCTCTCGACGTCGGGGCTGGCAGACCTGGGTGGGGGTTGGAGCTGGTCGCGACGAAGGTGGCCGGGGTTGGGCGCGACGGGGAAGGGGTTCGCTGAGGCCGATGCTGGGGTCACCGGAGCTGGTCGCCGCTTCGCTGGGGACACCGGGACAGAGCTGCGACAGGCCTGGGTCAGGGCTGGGTCGTGATGGTGGGGTATCCGGGTAAAATGACTCAAAACCCTTCAAATTATCAAAATTTTCTTGCAATCAACAATTCCAAAGAATTCAGACAACCCAGAAACCAACCTTCAAATTATCAAAATTCCTAAACTGGTTGATTTCGAAATAAGCAAATCCAAGTCCCTAAACTGGGTGATTTTGGAATCAAGAGAGAAAAAAGTGAATGAGATTATGGTTTTGTTTGCTCCAGTTTCTGAATTTAGTCTCTTTGATGAACGAGCAACAAGATGATGAAGAAGTGGAAACCGGGAGCCACAATCAACGGAAAATCAAACCAACCGACATAAATCACATGCTCTTCCTCCATTAATCAGTGGGTCTCTTGAGGAAGTCCGTGACGGAGTCCATTATTCCGGCGCCGTCGTGGGGGAGGACTGCAGTCGGAGGATAGGCGAGATCGCGCCGTCTTGCAGGCTCCGTTGGAAGAGAGGGCTTTTTGTCGGAGAAAGGGGAGAAGTTGGGTGTGCGTGATGAAGAGACACTGAGGTCGTTTAGTTGGTTGATTCGAGTTTTTAATTTGAGTTGAGATGTAATTTTATGTGAGAATTTTTTACTGTAATAAAAAAGTTAGATGTGACTGTTTCTTAGAGCTTTTTACTATAGCAAAACTTAAATTTTAAACTCAAATCGGTAAAATAAACGGGGCTTGAGGGCTCATGCTAATTGGAGTTTTTAATTCGAGTTGAGATATAATTTATGTGAGAATTTTTTATTATAATAAAAAAATTAAATGTGACTGTTTCTGAAAATTTTTTACTATAATAAAATTTGAATTTTAAACTCAAATTAATAAAATAAACGGAGTCTGAATAATAAGAAATCCTTTTTAATAGGGATAATTAAGTCATTTTATTTAAAAAAATGACGTAAAATGTTCAGTTAAAAATTTAAAGAGATTGAGATCATTTTGTTAAAAAAAATTTAATTTATGGACTACATGTACAATTTACCTAATTAATTAATAACATGAGAGAGGAAAAAGAAATATGGGATAACTGACACGAGGATATGCATGTGAATGTGATCTATCTAAATTAAGATTTCCCGTTAATTGAATTCTCCGTACGGAAGGTGGCCCCATTTGACCAAGTCCCATGGAACACTCCTAAGAATTCACAACATTTACACCATTAAAAAAAAAAAATACACTCATAGAACTTTCTGGTTCAAAAGAAAAAACACAGACACACACAAAACTTTATGCTAATAGAAAAGAAAACACAATTTGGTAACCTAATTTGAACCCTAATTGAACAACCGCAACCATTCTGCAAAAATGGGGTTTGACATTTTTGCAAACAAATTGCACCCAAACCATCATATATATATATATATATATATGTATGTATATCTCGTACAGATTGAAACAAAAGATAAGAAACAATCTTTATATATATCTAAAGTACCTGTTCTGGAGAATCAGAATGATGATCATCGGAGAGATCTACTTGGATGTTTTTTCTGGCCGGTGGGCGGTTATATGAGTGCACATGATCTCCAAACAACAAAACAACACAAGCCAATACCAGAAACAGCCGCAGCCTAATTCCAAAAACCATTTTTTTTTTTTTTTGAAAAAGAAAAAGAATCAGAACAGGAACAAGAACAAGAAGACGAACACTCACTCTAGAAAGAGAATGAAAAGGAAAAATAAAAATCCACCACCAGAAATGTGAAAATTCTCACTAAAATTTAACCATATCAGGCGTAGGCGTAGAGGCGTAAGTCTGGACGGTTGTACATTTGGCATTTCGTCCCCTCGTATTCACATAAGGATTGTGATAGCTGTCAGACTAATATGGGCTCTAACGTTATCATAGACAAAAATCCATACTAGGATACGTGGCTTATCACCCATTTGGACATGTGTATATAAGGGTGGCAATTCGTGTCCCGTGTCGTGTTTTAATCGTTTCTTTTTAAATTTACAGTCAACCTGAACACGACCCGTAACACGAAATTTTTTAAAAGCCGCAACACGATCACGACACGATCACTTTATGGGTTGACACGACACGACACGAAAATGACTCGTAACACGAAATTGACCCGTGAACCCGAAATTGATACGAAAATTGTATACTTCTATTTAGTTTTTTACAAATTAAAAATAACTTAAAATTCATAACACATTAAAATACAATAACATCCATTGAAATTAAGCAAATAATACTATAAGATTTTGAGTATAACTATCATGATATCATAAGTTCATAATAAAATCAAAATATGTAATGAAAAATATATGTATTTTTTTAGTTTTTTACGAGTTTCGTGTCGTGTTCGGGTTAGGCGGGCCCAACCCGAAATTGACCCGTGTTTTTCGTGTCAATTTCAGGTCGACCTAATTCTAATCCAAACCTCTTTTTTCTCAACCTTAACCCGCGAAATTCGTGTCGTTTTTGAGTCGTGACCCATATTACCAGCCCTACGTGTATACAAGATGCGTGGGAGGTCGTTGGTGGATGTGTGCTTTCAATGTTTCGGCCAGGTCTGTTTTGCTTATTCTAATCTTCAAAAGTTCACATTTTTTGTTTAGATTGACCTACTCTGTTTAATTTTTAGTGTTTTAATTAATGTGTAATTAATTAAATTACATCACATCATTTTATAATAAGTATAAAAAATAATTAAAAAATAATTTAATTTTTTATACGATATGATATGATTAATTAAATATTAATTGAGGTACTAAAATTAGACATGAAATTTGAGTCCTTTTTGTTTGGGCTTTTTGGAAAGTTGGATTTTCTACCTTAATTATATAATAATTGGTTCCAGATCAGAATCACCAGAACTTGTGCTTGTACTGATCGGCTGATTGTAACGTTATAATGATTTTTCCTAATTGGGCATCAAATTAATAATTAAGATATCAAACTCATAATAATAGAATTAACTTGGCCTGGTTAGGTGATTTTGGATCCTGTTTCTGAATTTCAAAATGTTTAATTCTAATTTCAATCAATTTGTGGAGTGGATTAAGGTTCTGGGCTGTCTCTGGCTGTGTAACGAGTGGCATTTATCTCCATTTTGAGCTAATTTGCCTGGCAGGCCCTTCAAATATGACCAATCCATCTCTATTTTGCTAAATTTTGATCATTCATTGAACTTCCTATTCTCAAAATAAAACCAATCCATCTTTTCATAGAATCCTTGCAATTAAGATGACCATGAATGAATTTCAAACAAAAAATAAAGACCATCAATGAATGATCAAGTGTGCTAATGCTATATTTAATATAAAAGAACTTAAAATTCATAATGTTTTAAAACATGATAACATCCATCAAAATTAAACACAAATAACAAAGTAAAATTTGGAGAACAACTATAGTTAGGTCACAAGTTCATAAAGAAATTAAAAATATGTTATGTGAAATATACTTCTTAAAAAATGTTTTTATGAGTCTTGTGTCATGTTCGGATTAGACAAATTCAACCTGAAATTGATTCATATTTTTCGTTTCAATTTTAAGTTAATTCAAATCTGACCATAACCTTTATTCTAATAATAACTTATGATTTTCGTGGTATTCGTATCATGACCCGTATTGTTACCCTCTAAAAAAGTGACCCATAAGCTTTAGAAGGCTTATGATACGTTCTTTTCATGTCGTTTAGAAACTTTCAAGATAATTCTTTTTGGCGTAAGGAAGTAAAAACCGTGCTTTTCAAAGTCTTGGTTTAATCTAACCGATGTCCAATTCAGTATGTAACACTCCTGAACTTTTCACAAAGTTTCTATGAATATATCAAAAAGCAATCCTAGTTTGTTCCTCAGAAGCTACTTTCTCGTAACAGAAACTTTAGCCAAAAAAAAAAAGGTAAGACGTGACCAATATGATGCCATCAAATGTAAAGAATATTTGCTTTAGTGTTGTTCTTTTCTTGAACTAGCTTGTGCGCATTATATATATGGATATAGATAGATAGATATATCGTCACATATGAACCGTGACCAAAGTTTTCTTTTCCCCTTTAATCAAATACACGTGTACACTTAAATCTTAATTCCTATATTTACATAATCTAGCTTTCTGTTTTCTTTTTGTTTTTTTGGAGGAACATCATCTAGCTTTTTAATTTAAAAGCGTTCTTCTCACTGATTTGAGTTTTGTTACAGTAAAAAACTCTTAAAAATAGTCACATTTAATTTTTTTATTACAGTAAAAAATTCTCACATAATATCACATCTCAATTTAAATTAAAAACTCAAATTAACGAACTGAACAACAGAATAAAACTATTTGACTCCCATTTTTATCAACTCCACTTGGCTCTACTGGGTACGTGGCAGGTTCATATTCTTTGAGAAAAGAAAAGTTATAAGCAGCGGGACCCACTTCTTGAAAAATATTATCATTGTTTTATTTGGAAATTTTTTTGTTATTATTATTTTTTTTTTTTAGAGAATACCGATATTTTTTATTTATTAATTATTAAATTTATATTATTTTTTAATTAAATTTAATATAAATCTAAGATTGATAAGTACGGAATACTTTCTCTTTTTATTTACTCAAAACCTTTTACTCTATTAACCCACCCTTACCCGGAAAAAGATCATTAAAAAAAAAAAGAGAAAATTATCTCATGTTTCTAAATCCCTTGTTTATATTTGAAATAATACATTCCAACTCTTTGGAATAATACATTCCAACTCTAGCAAACTTTATTTTTAGATTCATTAATGTTGATTTCTTTAGGTTGGCAAAAATCGGTTTTTTATATGAAAAAAAAACAAAACAAAATTGTTGATTTTCTGTAGGGAAGGCTTCATTGAAACAAAAGAAAAGAAACACGGAGCCCACAACAAAGCACAATAGCCAAAAGAAAAAGAAAAAGAAATAAATAAATAAGTAAAAGATGAGGCTTTGGATGTTTATTTGTTGGAAAGAAAAACGACCAATCTTTTTTTTTTTTTTTTTTTTTCCTTCCAGAAATATGAGTTTTTAATTGGTTGAGATTTTTTTTTTCTTTTTGGCGTTAGTTGCCTTCCCTCCTCTGTTATAATTATTGTATTTTTTTCCCTTGCTAAAAAACTTGTGTTTTCCACGTTAAAAGAAAATAACAGAAAGGAGTGGAAAAAAAAAAAGGAAAACGGAAAGCGGAATATAAATCTATAGCAACAGTTTCAATAGCACACGTGGACTTCGCCACGTCGTCGAGAGCCATGCGGAGTTGATAAGTAACGGAGCCGAATATCATTTCCGCAGTTAACTTGTACGTCTTTTATTTTATTGATTTATTTCGGTTAGAATAATAAATACAGTTAAAATTTATATTTAATAAGTACACAGTATGAATTATATTTTTATTTAAATTGAGTTAAAATGTTTAATTTAAAGTTTAGTTCTTCTTTAAATTCATCAGTTTAAATTATTTTTAAACAGTAAAAATATACCGACTTTCTCATCTTTTTTTATCTACTAAACACAAATTTAAATTTTATTTCCTGTTCAGATTAAGATTTTCACTGCACATTTAAACGTCAATTCAAACTACAATTTAAACCACACAGTTTAAATTTTTTTGTTCAAATAAAAAAGTTTAAATCAATAAAATTTAAATTAGCGAACTAAACAGAACTAAGTACATCACGTTCACAAAATCACTAAGAGCCTTTTTTTTGTATTTCTTTTTTTAAGCTATGTATTCCTTTTTCATTTTCCCTACCGTCTCTGTAAAGTTGAATCCTTAAGGGAATAATTGTTATATTTCCTGCTTTTATTTTATATTATTCTAAGTTTTATCTTAATAAAGGAATATAAGTTTAAAGTTTGTAATATGCCTATTTTGTTTTTCGGCTTTTGGAAAGGTTGATTTAATATCACAGGCTTTTCCTTCAAAAAAATATTTAATAAAAAAACCTTTTTGTTCTTTCTCTCTTTCAAGAGGTACGGCTAGAGTTTTGAATTTGGAATTCCTTCTTAAGGCCAGAGTTTGGCGCCACCAATTACCGGTTGCCAACCTCTCAGGCTTTAAGATAGTGGCTAAGGTCATACGCATCCAATTGGTAGTTGATAGGCGTTGTCCATTGGCGATGGAGGTGTAGATTTGGTGAGTTGGAGTATGGTGGTGCCGTTTCAAAAGGGTCTCGGCCTCCTTGTCGATATGGTTTGAGGAAGGGGCGATGAGTGTCTAGGGGGTGGTGGAGGCTTCATTTGGGATGCTTTCACTTTCGTTTTTGTCGCCGATGGTCGCAATTCTTTTACAATGACTCTGCTCAAATCCAAGTTGTTTGGCCTCCGTATTGTGGTGGCTGGCTTGTTGCCGGTTTTTCTTCCCGTTTGGCTAAGGTCATTTATAGTTTTCTTAGTATTTTGTTAATTTTAATAAGACGTTATTTTCGTCGTGTTTATGTATTATAATATTGGAGGTGGTTTCCTCACATTCTAATTTTCTTTGCGTGTCCCACCCGCTTGAGTTCATTATCGGCGGTGTGTGTGTTCATTTACAGCTAGATTTGTTTCTAGGCCTCATCGCTTGTATCTCCAATATTTGGGGTTTGGTCTTGATCGATTATTTTTATCCATCTATTGATCGCGCTCGATTTTATTTGTGCCGAGCGGGTCTTTTTCTGTTGGGTCTCGACACTTGTGTTTGCCATTGTGCTTCATCCGTCTTCATTGGTGGATCCAGTCAATGTTCATGATCGAATTTCTTAATAATTAGTGGTCATTTGTGACTATTATTAAGTATATAATTTATTAATTTTGGAATGAAATTTCCCTATCCAAAATAGTAATTTAATAATACCAGAGGCTATGGTTTCGTTATTAGAAAACGACCTCCCCACTTTCAAAAATATAAACAAAGACTTATTATAGTAATATTTATTAGGCAGAAGTACAATTTATTGCTGGTCACAAAGTCAACTGATGATATTAATTCGAAACAATGAAAGGAGAATCTAGTATTTGAAAAGGAAAAAAAAAAAAAATCCAATTCCTTGTTTCAACCAACTTGTTCTATATGATAATATATAATACTCGTGCTCTGAAAGTAGATGCTTAGGATATTCAGATCGTCTTTTTTTTTTTTTTTGATAATTGGAATATTCGGATCGTTATTTGTGCTTGTACGCAACTAAGATTTTTAATTTTTGGGGGAAAAAAAAAGATTATAAGAGTTGTCGGTCGATTGACACGATCAGAATTTATTAAGTTGGGGACCAAAAGTGTTCTGGTACAAGGCTAATATTTGTACCGCAAATCTTCACTCCTTAGAAGAAGTAAATATTGATAAGAAGACGTTTTAGGGAAAAATGAATGATGTCAAATTCATGAATAAAGCAAAGAACACACTACGGGAAAAAAAAAAGGAAAGATTAATCAGTTAAAAACTTAATTTGATTGCTATATTTTCCCATTAATAAATATCATTATTTTATTAGTCGTAAAATTTAGATCTGACGGTTGTAATTAATTAGATAGTTGAAAAAAATTATAACAATTAATTAGATTAGATTCTTATTACACTGCATCATTAAATTTTTATATTTAATAGATAATCACAATAAATTTGTAACCATTAAAAACTCATTTATATATATAATTATATATATAATTTCCCTTGGAAGTTGGAAGACCCCAGATATAAATAATTCGAGTTTAGAATGTTTTCTATATGTAAGATTCAAAGAAGGATTATAATAGTTCATTACATTCGAATTATGTAACACTAATTTGCTTAATTTAATTTGTCTCGTGGAGCTTGCCACAAAATATAATGTAAACTAGTGTGAGCTTTTCCCTCAAGTTACAATCTCTAGATTCTCTACCTTTACCACGTCACTCACATGTTGTATGTCGTTTTGTTATTGATCTTTATATCTTACTAACTTTCTTACGGAACTTGATCTGTTCATGTCGCTTTGTTCGTTCGAAGAGAAAGAAACAAGCAAAGAAAGAATAGTCTCATGTCACTTACGAATAATTACTTCCAATGAATTAACAAAACGATGCTATCTAATATTATGACGTGTAAATTTAGTTACAATTTTTTTTTTTCTATTTCAGTTTTGAGCTAAGTTTAACTTATTTTGATCACGACCAAGTGGCGCCAAGGAGAAGAAGCGCGCGCATATATATATATATATATATATATATATATATATATTACCAAAATGGTAAAAATGCAAATATATACGAAAGTATATAATTAATTGGATTTATCTATATTATATTGCTCGTGACGAACATGCTAGCCATTAATCATCACTAATTATGTCTTAACATTAATCCATGAAAATCATATATAATGAAGCTAGATTACTTCCCTTCATTTATATCAATATATTTTTAAAAAAATGAAAGAAAAAACATAATTTCGTGTTCTGACTAAATTCTTAGAAAAATATTGGGAGCTAGTTTATGATTATTATACAATTTGAGTAGATGTTAAATGTGCACACTGAAGCCTACGCGTATGAAAAAGAAAATTAAATAATCGAAACGTCATACGTATGTCCCAAGTATAACATGTATTGGCCGTACAAGAAAGAGCCGGGTTTGCATTTAAATTGAAATTAATGACTTCTCACTCACGCAGCATATACTCTACCAGTAGATCCAGAACTACAGGATATTCGATCTGTTTATAGTGCTGGACCAATTTTAATTTGTTTTTTTTTTTTACCTTTTATCTTTTTTTTTTTTGAAAAAAGAAAAACGTGTATTATAAGTTTGTGTTTCCTAAGGGTCCGTTCACTTCGTTGATTCGAGTTTGTAATTCGAGTTGAGATGTGATTTTATGTGAGAACTTTTTACTGTAGTAAAAAAGTTAGATGTGATTGTTTGTGAAAACTTTTTACTGTAGCAAAACTCGAATTCTAAACTCGAATTGGTGAAGTGAACGGGACCTAAGTGTTGTGCATTTTGAGTTGTCTGTTAGTACTGTCATTTTGAATGACTAATTTCCCTTTCACACAAACCGAAAATTTTTTTAGTAATTGGACCTTCTCTGGAATCATGCATGGATAGGAATCATTGGAACCAAGCTTGTTTTAATTGTCACAATTTTTGACGAATTATTTTTGGAGAGTTTCTCTGGTAAAATTAGAAAAAAAAAATGAATTAGCAATAGCATTTTACTTTTTAACTGTTATATTTGTATCAAAAACTATCTATTCTATATACTTTTTTAATTTAATGTGATTTTAATCAGATTTAACGGTCAGAAACTGGTACTACTAATAAGAAAGCCTACTAAAAACAGTCCCTTATATTTCTGATGCTTAAAGCTAGATAATTGACTTAAAAATGCATATTTCCAACTTAATTTTCTGATGTCCATGTATTAGAGAAAACATAATATCTGTCCTTTATGCTTGCTCCATAATTAAAGACAAGTGCCATGGATTCCACTAGCTACCGCCATGTATAACATTGTGCACCATATATCCATATATCAAATTATAGATAGCTTGTCCATATTTTATGAGCTGCAAAGATAATTAATATATATATATATATTAAAGTCGGTGACTTGTTTTGAATGTAAATATATATATATATATATATCTCAATACCTGACCAACACTTGATCATAATTCTTTGTGGTCAATGAGTTGCTTAAGCTTACTTGACGCCATTGCAAGCCATTTATCACAATACTTTCTCCAAAATCTCAAACTTTTTTTTCGTATAAATTACAAACCTCCCTATACTGTTTTTCATCACTAGGAATATTTGTACCCTATGCAGCTCTCAAATCACCAACATTAGGAGAGAAAAAAACAAAAAAAAAACAAAACAAAAATGTGCCAAAGTAGTGTTGCTTTCTCAACCCTCCTTACCATTTTCTTCCTCTTATTTCCTCTAATCATACAAGCAAAACATGAAAATTTTGCCCGTCTTCCACCGGGAAAACTTGTGTTTCCTCCCCACACCCGATCCGAATCCGAGCCTCAACAGGTAATTATCGTCCCAATAATACCTACCTAGAGATTAATGTCAGGCACATATCATTATATTAATATGTTCAAAATCTCTTACTAATTGTATAAGTGTCAAATTTCAGGTACACATTTCACTCGTGGGAAAAGACGGCATGAGAGTTTCATGGGTTACGGAACACAAACACACAAAATCAACCGTGGAATACGGGACAACGCCGGGGAAATACAATGCCGCCGCCACCGGAGAACATGCGTCGTACCAATACTTCTTCTATAAATCCGGCACGATCCACCACGTTACTATAGGGCCGTTGGAGCCCGGCACCACCTACTATTACCGGTGTGGAGGTTCGGGTCCCGAGTTCAGCTTCCGAACGCCTCCCTCGTCGTTTCCCGTCGAATTTGTGGTGGTTGGTGAGAGTTCTATGACGTCTCTTTCTTAAAATGGCATCTTAAGAGAGTACTCCCTAATTGACTTCAATGTTGTTATAACATGAAACTACACGCCTTTCTAATTTAGTAATAGTCTTTATTTTGTGGCATATATGGGCTTTTGGTTAACTTTTTTGAACTAGTGATAACACGAGTTAGGCGCGGATTTTATTGCTTTAAGGCTACGCAAAATGGGCACAACAAAGTTGAAGAGTGCAAACTACGTGCTTGTGAGGGGGAAAGTATTATTAAATTAATTAGTTATGAAGTAGTACGGCAAATATTAACTTCCAAAATTATACTAGCAAAAAAAAATAAAAAAATTCCAAAATTAGTTGCATGAAGATGCAGAAATTGATATTCCAAAAATTCTAATTAGGTGATTAGATTGGATGTCGAATGTCTTGGGTGGTTTCGTGATGCGATTAAGACAGGAGAATAAGTCGTGTTTATGGGTGTAGAGAGATTTTTTGTTAAGAAAAGCAAAAACAAACGAAAAACATGCATATATGTTCTTAATTTGAAGGTAATATTTTGATCATATTGTTCATAATTAGAGATTAATTATGCTGGCGCCTAGTTAAATATGCCAAATAAAGGACTCTAATGGAATAACTTGCACGGATAAGCTTTCTAAGATATATTAGGTGCATGAATATGTATGTATAAAGAAGATAATTAGAGAGAGAGAGAGAGAAGGAAAAAAAAAAACACGTTTGGGCTTATTCACTAATAGTTGAGTTGCTGGAATTGGATTACTTGGTAATTGGTATGCTTGATCGTTAATGCTATATACAATATATATCAAGTTGTACTTTCGTCCCTATTTACAGTACTTTTTTTTTTTTTTTTTTTTGCTTGAAAGTCCCTATTTATAGCACTTGATCAGTAAATAAATTTCCTCACATAGCACTATATCATGCACGTACTCAAAACATCCCAAGTTCTTTTATCGTAGCATAGGAAAGTGTGATGGACAGAATAATAACAAAAAATAAAAAATAAAGAAAAGAAAAGAAAAGAAGACAAGGGCATGATGATCTGGGACAAGGCTTGATATTATATCTATATAGAGACGAGTTTTTAATAATTATGTAACGTTTATATCGATAATTACGTTACATCGGTGGTTATTATTAAATATAAAAATTTAATGATCGTGATGTGAATCTATTTTTGGTTCTGAATATATGTACACATAGCTAGCTAGCTTTCAACTTATTAAGCTTGAGTAATAAATAATTAAAAATAATATTATCTTATTTTTCCAAATTATCATATATAGCTCGCGATTTATACACCATTGCCAGTATAAATCATAACTTTCTCATTAATCGTTATTTTCCATAAACTGAACACTATTATCTTACGTTTTTTTGCAGGAGACCTTGGGCAAACCGAATGGACCAAATCAACCCTAAAACACGTCGAGAGCAAGGACTACGACATTTTCCTACTCCCCGGCGACCTATCATACGCCGACACCCACCAGCCATTGTGGGACTCCTTCGGCCGCCTCGTGGAGCCCTACGCTAGCCGGCGGCCGTGGATGGTCACCGAGGGAAACCACGAGGTGGAGCCCATCCCCGTCATCGCCTCCGACGGCTTCAGGGCCTACAACGCCCGGTGGCGGATGCCCTACGAGCAAAGCAACTCGACCTCAAACTTGTACTACTCGTTTGAGGTCGCGGGTGCTCATGTGGTAATGCTCGGTTCATACACAGATTTCCACTTCCAATCCGATCAGCACAAGTGGCTCAAGGCCGACTTGATGGGCGTCGACCGGAGGAGGACGCCGTGGGTGTTCGTGTTGGTCCACGCGCCGTGGTACAACACGAACGAGGCGCACCAAGGGGAAGGGGAGAGCATGAGGCAGGCCATGGAGGAGTTGGTGTATGAGGCCAAGGTTGATGCGGTTTTCGCAGGGCATGTTCATGCATATGAGCGTTTTGTAAGCCTAATTTGAACGCTTTTTCCCTATGTTTTATGTGTTAATTTGAGGAATAATAATCCAAATGTTATTAGGTTTTGGAGTATTTATAATTTTGTTATTATTTATTGTCTTTCTTCAGACTAGGATCTACAACAAAAAGGCTGACCCTTGTGGTCCGGTTTACGTGACTATTGGTGACGGAGGGAACAGAGAGGGACTTGCATTAGCGTAAGTATATATTCTAATTTTTGGTAAATATCATAGGAACAACTGTTTTTTTTTAAGGAAAATAACTGGTATTTTAATTTTCTCTACTTGATATACAGTTGCTATTTTCCCCCTTAAGATAATGACATATATTGAGTGTTTAATTTTTTTTATTTTCAACGTTTTTTTTCCTATATTATAAGGACTATTGTTAGTTCAGGCTTCAATCACTATTTATAAACATCTTTACTAATAATTAGGGTAATCATAATCATTACATATTTGAATTTTGTTGTGTTTATAATAAGTTGATTTTTCTACTACTTTGGACTTGTTGCAATAATGTGTTCTCTCGTTAAGTTTATTCCATTATATATTATTATTAATATTATTTAAATTTTAATGAGCAACTATATAAAAGCAAATCTATATAAGTTTATACGTGATACGACCATATTGTTTGGTTAATCTGATGTTGTTTGTACATATGTGTGTGTGTGTGTATATATAGGTTCCAAGATCCACCTTCTCCATTATCATTGTTCAGAGAGCCAAGCTTCGGACATGGACGGCTGAGAGTGGTGAACGAGACACATGCACATTGGTCATGGCACCGCAACAATGACTCGGACGCAGTGGAGGCAGATCAACTGTGGTTAGAAAGTTTAATTAGTGCCAATAGAAAATGTTGGGAAATTATAAGTTCCAAACCATCATCATCCGATGTCAATGATGATCTATAGCTAGCTTACACAAATTAAAGTAGTAGCTGATCGTAACCTTCCACAACCAATCATAATGATCTTTTTAATGCACGAGTGACGATATTAGTGATTTCAGATTGATGATGCATATCGTTGTAGTTTTTGCACTTCCGTATATGTCTAAAATGGTTTTTTCTTTGATGGATTTTTTTTTTTTTTTTTTTTGATAATTTGATTTGATGTGAGTTAATTTGTTCGCTGATTAATATTCTAATGTCAATGCCATTGTGTTTTTGTTCCTTCAAATAGTGTTTAAGATGAACCTCGCAAGTTTTAAATTCCTGTTTGGAAAAAGTTCATTTGACAATATATGTCTTGCTTTAAGAGCTTCAAATTTTGTGTGCCGGGTGGAAGATGTAGACGACATCCAAATGCAAGAACAGGACTATAAGAGAAAAATGTGAAATAAAAAACGACATATCGTTTTCTGCATAAACGACACGTCTATTTTGACATAACCGACAATAAGATTATTGAGAGTGCATGGATAAACGAACATTGTCTTTAGGCTGAAAAGGATAAGCCACATGCGGTTTTTCGAATCAAAGAATTTTTAGAACAAAAATAAAATGTGACCACAGAAAACAGAACAAAACGAACCATAGATGATAAACGACAAGGAAATTCTGGATATGAATAGGATATGCTCGTCTGTCTAAAGTAACTGCAGCCAATTTTGGATAAAATCTATGTCATTTATCGTTTAAGCTACGTCGTTTATCGGAATAAACGATTTAAAACGTCACTCTTCAGGCATTAATTAAAACTTCAAACTCTTCAGGAATCACAACTATTCAATTCCTATAAGCATTTTAGAGTTGGAGTCAAGATTGGAGTTCTCCATATATGGGATTTTCATTTTCAAGAAATTAAAGAGTCATGATTTGTGAGATTTATAAATTTTCATTTTTTCCCTGTATTATAGCTATTGTAATGCTTTTAATGTCCCTTTATTTTATACACAGAGCTGTAGCCGTGTATATAATGAAACATTTTGGGTCAATCCTACAAATAATTTATGAGGTTTATCTTCAATTCTATTTTGGTTTAAAATAAGTCCTACAGTTGATTCTTAATCTATTATTTTATTTCAATTTCAGTGTTTTAAAAATTATGGATTTCAATTAAAAACATCTGAAATCTAGAGATTAAAGCAATATAAAAACAAAAGTTAGTTTCCACCAAAATTTAAGTGCCAATAAAAAGTGTTGGGAAAGTTTAGAAACATCACCATCCGACATCAATGATCATGATGAGCTATATTTATATAAGCACAAAAATTAAAGTAGTACGTCGCTGATCATAATCTCGAACCAACAAACAATAATGATCTTAATGAGTGGCAAATTAGTGATGATCAGTATGATTCCTGTTGAACTTCTGTTGCAGTTTTCCTTTCTATTGTTGTCGTTTTTTGAACTTCTATGGGTCTTAAATTAAAATGGTTTTGGTTTGATGTAAGTCGGTTTGCTGATTAATGTTCTGTAATGTCATTATCTCTTTGTTCCTTCGAGTGTATTAAGTTTTACAATGCTGTCTGAAGAAAGTTCATTTTGACCCTAAACATGCTTACTTTTAGAGTAGAGCTTCCAAGTGGGGACTCTTAAAGAAAAGAAACGACATGACGTTTCTACATAAACGACAATGAGAATATTAAATTTGAATTGTCATTTTTTGCTGATATGAATGACATTGTTTTTAGGGTGAAAGGACAAGGCACATGCAGTTTGTTGATTTGAAGACAACTTTTAGAGCAAAACTAAATATGACGACAGAAAACAAAACAAAACTAACTATGGATGATTAACGAGAATAAGGCACCGTTCATTTTATCGATTTGAGTTTTCAATTTTAGGTTTCTATAGCAAAAAGTTCTCAGAAAATATCACATCTAACTTTTTCTGCTATAGTAAAAAGCTCTCAGAAAATGTCACGTCTCAGCTCGAATTGAAAACTTGAATCCGCGAAGTGAACGAGACCTAAAATTCTGAATATAAGAAGGATATGCTCTTATTTGTCTAAAGGGTAATTTTTAAAAATAGTCATTTTATTTTTACTCCTTAATAAATTAGAACTAATTAAGAGACAGTGTTTCAAAAAATAGATTTTTAATAAATTAAGTAGTTAAAAAATAGAATTTATAATTTTCTCTTTTCTAAACAGTTCTAAACAGCAGCAAATTTTAGTTAAAAACTTCAAACTGCATAAACTGCATGTGCCTTTGTAAGCCAAACAACAAGAAACATTAGACGGCTAACGAAATGTTAGTCTTCTGCACTTGCTCTGAAGGGGTTGCCACTCCAGTCCAACACGGTTAGAGATGACCGTATTCCTCATGGGGATCCGCCCCAAAAGAGGCAGCCGGGCAGGGATAGAGGATTGTAACTGAGGATGGGGGTGGGGAAGGAAACAAATGCTTTTCCCCAAATCGTAGCAAGACGGGGGGAAGCACTCGCTCACCTCGCCTTCGCTTCGATATACATGTATAATATATTTTAGCCTGATTCGTTTTGTGGATTCGAATTTTCAATTTAAGTTGAGATATAATATTTTTTAAGAGTTTTTAACTGTAACAGAAAAAATTAGATGTAATATTTTCTGATAGCTTTTAACTGTAAAAATTTAAAACTGAAAACGCAAATTGGTGAAATGAACGAGATATTTATATAAATAGTTATATATAATATTATTTTTTCAAACATATTTAACTTTTTGTGACTTTATTACAAAGATTTGATTTGCATATGTTTTGAATTTGACTTATTTTATGGAACTTTTAATTTTGATTTAAATTTATTGTGAATTTATACTTTTATTTGAATTAATTAATTATAGTTTTAAAATACATAATTATATTAGATGAGAAATAGAACGGGCACAATAGAAAATCTTTAACTTCGATCCTGTCTCTTTTTAAGCAGAAATGGGGAGGGAAAGAGGATGATTTTTGGGGTGGAAATGAAAAATCATTCCAATGAGTATATCAACAAAAATATAAAAGATTAATTTCATAAATATCTCGTGAAATATGTACATTATTTTAAATTATTCCTTAAATTATAAAAACTGACGATTTATAAAAAAAGATAAAGCAAAATACCCCTTCATATACCTTAGGTCTATAGTCTTAACAATATGCTGACATGGCACTCATTTTAATACGTAAAACATCTAAAATTAAACTGAAAAAGGATTAGTTATTAACGGATTAGTTATTAACAAATTAATTTAAAAAAAAAGAAAAAAAATAAAACATATGAAATTTCTTTTCAAAACCCACTCAACCTCAGAGCGCCAAACCAGCCTCCACATCCTCTCGATGGCGATAGTCCCTTCTCCAACGACAATCAAGTCGCTTGCCTCCACAGTCCACTGCACTAACGAGATACTCAATGCCGACGCCAGTTATGGTGAAATCGACGGCTGAGAGGGGTTCTTTGTACGTAATATTCTTCACGACATCGTCCTTGTTGAGTCCGGATTTGGGGCGGCCATTGATGACGAACAGAGCTTAGAGGATTGTGCGGAGTGGAGAGAGTGAAAGAGTGAGGGAGAGCAATTTTGTAGGCGTTGATGCAATCTTCCGTTGGGATTCTTTGGCGTTGTGCGTATGAGGAGGGGGCTAGGTCGCACAAAGGTGGGGCAGACGGCCTTAGAGGAACCGCTGGGTCTAGGTTGCTCGACTTGGGATCTGGGGTTTTTTTTTTCTCTAAGAGTGCAGGATTATGATTTTATATCTTAATTCAGAATTAGTATTTGTTTACAGTGATTCTGAATCAATATTTAGTTTGAATGATACTGTAGTAAAAAAGTTAGATGTGACTGTTTGTGAGAGCTTTTTACTGTAGCAAAACTCGAATTCTAAACTCGAATCAACGAAACGAACGAGACCAATTATGATTCAGAATCTGATGTGACATTTTAAACTAGCTCAAATTATAATTCTAAAACAATCTCCCTTTTAATTCAAGATTATTTAAATTTTTTATTCTGAATCATAATTTTAGAATTATAATTTGAACTTAAAATCATGAATTATAATTAAGATTTCAAAATCATAATTAAAATCGCATTAATTTAAATTATCGTATCGAACAAACTCTCAATTTTGAGATGTTTGAATGAGATTAAATTTTGTTTGGGTGTTTTTATTTGAAGATTGGATCTATTGTTCTTATTGTTTCAAGGCGTTTGATTATAGATTTTAGGTCTGTACTTTGAGAGGGGTGAAACAAAAAAGACAGGCCCTATTTTTTTTCCTTTTTTTTTTTTTTTTTGCTCTTTTGAGTTTTTTAATAAAATAATCTTTTACGCTGATTTAATTAGAACTTAATACATATTTAAAATGAGCGTTACGTCAATAAATCCATCACGACACTCTCTTTTTTTTTTTTTTAAATCGAAGGCATTTTGAACTATTATAAAAAATCTAGGGACAATTTTATACTTTAGGGGCATAATTAATTTAAATATAAACAAACTATCTGTGCCAAACTACTGGGTCCTAATCATATTATTATATTTAAAAATCACAAAAATGGAAATGTTATTTCACTTAAACGACAACAAATTTTTAACCAGTTTACCGTTTTCTCACGCAAAGACGTCCAACCAGTATTTGAATAAGTCGCTTATAAAATTTCGTTTTACGATATGTCGTATTCTAAATTAAATAAGTAAAAATGGGAGAGAGAAAAAAAGAGCAAATTAAAGGCCCGGTTGATCACGAAAGATTCAAACTCATGCGTAAAACTAAAGATGAGGAATCTACACGGAATTTGACTGGAAATTTCAATCCCAAACATAATTTTTTTCCAATTTTATACAAAATCAAAAGCTCACAGAAACAACCTTATTCCCAAAAAAGAAAAAAAAATTAATAATAAAAATAAAAATAAGAGAGACACAATCCTATATATCATCTTCCGCCACCTGTCCGCCCACCACAGCCCCACGATGAACCGCTTGCGAACCGCCCGCGATCATCGCCGTCCATCCACATCGAAATCTCCACAAACCGAAACCTCTTCAACGATCCAGATTAAGTCAAATCTTATCGAGCTTCTCGGCTTTGACCACTGGATTCGCCCTGCAGATCTCTTCTCTCCCCATCGTCTTGAAGTCGAACGTGCACCCGTGCTTCTCCGGGTACCTGTGGGCCCCGCAGAACGTGGTCCCACACCTGCACTTGAAACCCGTTAACCCGACCCGCTTCCGGCATACCAAGCACCGATTCGGCTGCGATACGACGCCGTCCTGCGCGCTCCGCGGCAAAACCGCCTCCGGCGGCGGCGGAGGAGAAGAGACAGAAAGAGGCTCGATCGCGATTTTCAAGGAAGAGGAGAGAGAATGAGAGGAAGAGGAAGCGGAAGAAGAAGAGGCGGAGAGAGAGTTTTCGACGGTGGATTTGATCGAGGCCTGTTGTTGCTCCTTGAGGCAGAAATCTCTGTAGCATTTGGAGCAGAGATTCATGGTGGCCGAACTTCCGAAGAAGCCGCAGTTGTTGGCGCAGAGGCGGTGTCCCTCCGGTGCTTGGCATCTGTGCTCTTCGGCCATATCCGATCTCCAATTTCTGAACTCGATCTATATCTAGGTCTAGCTTTCTTCCGAAAAATCAAAATTCCGATAATTACTAATCTCCGATCTGCACAAATTGACCGATTATAAGAGATCTAAGCAACAAATCGCAACAGAATCCGTTAATTTTCCCTCAACTTTCTCACCAACCAAACAGAAAAAGCAATTTTACCTGAGAAAGACGACGATTCAGAGACCTGTGAAACGAAGAAACTCAGATACGAAGAGAGGAATCTTAAGAGAGAAGGAAGAAAAATTTGGGCTCGAAAGGAATATTAAAGCGAGGGGGGGTTGCGGACGAAGGAACGGCGAAAGGGACAAAAATGGGAATAAAAGTTTTTTTTTTTTTTTTTTTTTTTTTCAATCAATAATTAGAAATGACATTTATGCTTGAATTTAAAAAGAGAATAAAAAAAATTGGCAAATATCTGAGCCGACAGCCTGGAGAGCTCTAATTGAGAAAGGGTCCAGCCTTTATATTGCTTGTTAGCTATCCATCCCTATCCATCCTCCAACTGCAAATGTCCTCTTATGATTTTATTATTATTTGACAATTTTATAATTTTCTTTGCTTTATTATGCAAATTTTCTTTTTTATTAAGTTGGTAAAATTTGTAAAACTTTTTTGTAAATGCGAGTTCTCAAAAATGTAAGAGTTACACTATATGGTAATTTTTTGAGAGTTAGGTTAAAATACAACAATTTTAAAAGTACTTTAGGATTTTAATAATAATATTGTACTTATATTCAAATTTATGCTGCAAAATTACGTAATAATTGTTCTTAACTTTTTTCCAAACAAATTATTCAAGGATTTTATTACGTAATAATTGTTTTTAATTTTTTTCTAAATAAATTATTCAAGGATTTTAAAATCCAAAAAATAACTACATTTTTGTTTTTAGGCAGCTACATTAAAATTTCAGTATCCACATTTAACAAAATTTGGCTCTATAAGTAGGCATGCAATTTACATGATTCATATTTTCCCAATTTCATAAAACTGAATACGAAATTTCAAAGTTAGATTCTTAATTTTACTAATTTTTGAAAATAGAAGGAATGTATTCAAATTTCAAAAAACAAATACGCACGTAAAAGAGGAAGAATTTTAAATTTGTTTAGTTCGTTAATTCGAATTAAAATGTAACTTTATATGATTGTATTAAAAAAAATTAAATATAACTGTTTTTAAAATTTATTTACTATAATAAAACTATAATTAGTGAAAGATAAAGGACTTTTAAAATTTATCCTCATAAGATAAGAACATTAAAAATGGCATAAAATAAGAACATTAAAAAAATAAGAATGAAAAATAAAAGAATAATGTCCTATTTATTTTACTGATTTAAATTTAGAATTCGAGTTTTGTTACAGTAAAAAATTCTCAGAAATAATCACATCTAATATTTTTGTTACAGTAAAACGTTCTTATATAAAATCACATCCAAATTCAAATTAAAAATTCAAATAAGTGAACTAAATAATCCCTAATGATAAGTTAGTGGTGGCTAATTGGTTAGAGTGACACGTGGCAAGTCTTGGATGGTTCTCGACATTGACGAAATGGAAGTGGTCCTGTTTTACGAGGTTAGGCGTGTTATTTGTGGGGTTTATGATTGCTTTGTGTCGTTACGCCTTTGCTTATCTGCTTAGCTGTTTTGTACTTTCGGATTAAATTGGCATTATCCCTTTTATGGCCTTCATCAATTTTTATTTTAGAAAAATAAAATAAAATATTACTCCATTTTAATTTAAAAGAATATCGTTAGATTTTATTTTTATATTAGAAAAACTGAAAGTTGTTCCACTACGCAATGGGATTTTTCTTTCTTGTGTAATTGGGTCCTTAACTTATTCCCAATCATTTTAATTATTGAAAGTATTAAAGTGGAAAGGGCTTTTGGGGTCTTCTATCCACAAACAGCAGAGTATTAAGTCGGCAGATTCTCAGGACTCTTTTCGGTGAACTAATAAATGTTCACACTATTTTTACTATTTATTTATTTATTTATTTATTTTATCTATATTTTATTTAGAATTATGTTCAACAATAGTTTAAAGGGCATAGACTTCTTTTAAAAAGAAAATAAAATGGTTACAAATTTTTTAATGTTTAATTGTTAATGGGATGGGTACATACATGTACGTTATTTTCTAGTGTAGCGATAAAAGATGCATTTTTTTTTTCTCACATTCGTTTATGATTTAATATACCATAACTCCATTTTAGAACACCAATTCGGTTAATGTATGTGCGTCGTTACGATATAAGTGAAAATTAGGTGTATTATTTAAATAGAATTGAGTTAGATTTTTTCTGTATATTAGTGGTTATCTCAAAATATTTAGAGTGATAAGTAAAATGAGAGACATAATGACACTAATAATTATTATTTTTAAATAAAGAATATGTTAAAAGGTAAAATAACGTCTCATTCAGTTGTTATTGCCCTATACATACACTGTTTTTGTTGAGAAAGTTGACAACCCATATAAATATATAATTTGCCCTATACATTGCTTTCTTTCCTTTTTTTTCCTCTCTTTTTTTCTTTTTTTTTTCCCAGTTGAGAGAAGTACATTGAATCTGGCTCCTATTTAAATGGCCAAAATGGTTCAAAGTAAGGGTGTTTTACGAAACTTTTAGTGGCTAAAATACAATTTAAAAACAGAGAAATTTATTCTCTAAATTCACTGTTTAACACATAAATTCTATCAATATCATATATTATTATTTAAATAAAAAATGAAATAATAAAACTCATGTATCAAATAATAAATATAAAGAGTGATCGATACTAGCGTTTCTCTTAAAAATATCATATTCTAATTCTAAATTTTGGACAATTATCATCATCTTTGTCCTTTTTCTTTTTCGAGAAATTTTTCATTTTACATTTGAACACTTATGCTCTATTTGTGTCGAGGGTTTTGACTTGATTTAAAATTATAGTTCTTAATTCGTTACAATATTTTTCTCTCATAAAGAATTTATATTTTAAAAATTAGATAATTAATCATAATTCTAAATTTATGAATCAAATGTCACTTTAAAAAAAAAAAAAACAAATTATGGAAACATGATGTCGACGGGTTAGAAAATACAAAATACGTGCACGAGATATTTCTGCAAATCTATCAGTGTTCATACACAAGCTGGTATTGTCTCTTGCGCTTTGATTATTTGACAAAGACCAGTATGCTCGCATAAGCATTAAGCAATACTTTACCGGCAACCCAAAAAAAAAAAAAAAAAAAAAAAAAAAAAAAAAAAAAAAAAAGAAGCTTTAAGCACTACTTGTCAAGAATAAAAGTAAGTTCGAGAGCACATGTGATCCCGATTCTCTAATATAATTAGAGGATAAAGAAGAAAATAGGTAAAGATTTGAGATGAATTAAAATTAATAGGTCAATAATTTATATAAGTTAATAAATAGACTAAATTACTATTTTTATTTATAATTTGTCTGGTTATGAACCATAACTTGACAAGTTATTGTCCATAATTTATATGGTTATGAACTATAACTTAACAAGTTTGTCCGTAATTTATCTGGTTATGAACTGTAACTTAACAAGTTATGACCTATTAATTTTTATAACTAAAAATTAGCTTATATATTTTCTTAATATTTTTATATTAGCCTATTTCTTACTATTTCCGTATAATTGGCATCTCATATGTATACATGGGCCTGTCACTACTGTGGTCCGAATGTTAAGGTCCAGCTGGGAGATTTCACACCCTTTGGGCGGCCCGGCCCATATTGCTCAAAAGCTTGTGATAACACACCCAAAGGCCGAAACCATTTTTTGGGAATGATACAAATATCCCTTAAGAGTATGTTTGGTAGGAAAGAAAAGTAGAAGGAAGGACGAAAGTGGAAGGATTTTGGAAGGAAAAATGAAAATGTAGGTTGTTTGGTAGGAGAGAAAAGAGAAAGGAAGAGAAAATGGAGTGGAAAATAATATATGTGGGCCCCACTATTTTTTTTCTTTTCACAAGTGGGCAGAAAATGGGATGGAAAATGGGGACAACTCATTAAAGTGAGCAAAGTTACTAAACTACCATTTTCTCTATCAACATCCAAGCAAAAAATTTAAGGGTATAAAAGTAATTTACGAGTAAGATTTTTTCTTTCCTCCTAATTTAACTTCCAATACCAAACAAGTGCAGGTAAGCTCATTTTCTTTCCATCTTCTCATATCAAACAACATAAAAGAAAATCAATTTTCTTTCCATCATTGCTATTTTCCATCACTTCCATATTTCTTTTCTATCCTATTTTCTTTCCTTCCTACCAAACATAGCAAGTTGATGGGTCAAAATTTGTATTTCTTACTCTTAATTAATAACTTTTTTAGTAAAATAACTATACTAATAAAAGAGTATTAATTAAGAATAAGATGTAAAAATCTAGACTCATACACACATAAGGATAAATTATGTAATTTTCTCTTGATTAATGACCTTTTTAGTCAAATAATTATATTAGTAAAATGGTATTAATTAAGAATAATGAGTAAAAATTCAGGCTCATGCACACCTAAAGATAAATTATGTAATTTTCTCTTATCCAATAGGAATTTGAGGAGGAGTATAAATAATCTCTATAGGCTTATTTGGTTCATGTGTTTAAGTTAGTGATTTTGATTTATATTTTTAAATTTTTTGTGAGAGAATCATTGACGGGAATTTTTTTTATTTAAATTTTTTATGAGAGAAAAATATTGTAACAGAATCAGAATCATAGACTTAAATATATGTACCAAAGAGGCCCTATATGTTTAACGTGATACACATGCAAAGTTGATGGAAGTCTGGCCTCGAAGGTTGAGAGTGACTCCAACATTTTTTCGGCAACATGCATGCAAGAGGTGACATTGGTATGGTGGCCAATAAGAAAATGAAGGAGAAAGGGAAATTTGATCCGTTTTTATCTGATATGGCCTTTGGAAGATGGTAAAATTAGGGTTCGTACCATTTATGAAGTTTAGTTATTCACTGATGTCTCTTTTTTGTAGGGGTAATAATTCGTGTTAGTGAGTCGTGTTTGTGTCAAGTTGTTTATTAATCGTGTTAGAAAATATCAACCTAAATATGACATGTTTATTAAACATGTCAAAAATGTCAACCCAAACACGACTCATTTATTAATTGTGTTCATTGTGTCAACAATAATATATTGAATAAATAACTAATACAATAATGACTTATTTAACCCGATTATGAGAGGTTTAACATGTTTATTGATCAATTTATATTTTTCTTTAAAAAAAATGAATTTTACCTACAAATATTATAATTCATGTTATTTGTATTTAATATGTCATATAAATTTTCATGTTATATCACATATCATTAGATTGCAGATAACATATATAGTTAATTGTGTCAATTCGTGTCACTTCGTATTAGGAGTTCAACCCTAACCTAACTCGCTTATTAATTGTGTCAACCCGATTATGTCCAAAACTCATTTATAGTAAACCCAAACCTGCTAACTTCATGTGAATTTTGAGTTGTGTTTCGTGTCATGAATCAAATTGACACTCCTAGAAATTCCAATACCAATTCTCTAAAAGTGGTTTTCCTATAATTCACCTATTTAAAGTAAATAAACAATTATAAGATTTGCGACATTTTATAAGCACTATGAGTTTCAAATGTTGTAAAAGTAAACTTTTAATTTTAAAATAATTTAAAAATGTAAGTGTTACAGTAATTAAATGAAAAAATGAACATAGCAACTAATAACAATTAAATGTTAAATTTGTCATATGCTATACTTATTGACAAATTTCTGACAAATTTGTCATGAATTTAGTGCAAGGAATAATATTATATTGGATAGTGTTTTTCCTATCAAATACTAAAATTTATTATTATTATTATTGGCATATTAATTTAGTATTGTGTTGGAGATGCTCTTAACTTTTTTACACTTATTTTTTTTATTAATTTCTAGATTTCATCTTTTTGAACTTGTGAGTGAGGAATTCGATCTCTATAGCTCATATTGAGGTGAATTTTGTAGATGGTGAAATCTACAATTAAATTTTTAGAGGCCAATGACTGAATTCTGATGATTAGAGCGTTAGATATCGTGATCGCGGAGAAAATAAATAAACAACAAAAGTGAGAGCGGGACACAAAAATTTATAACGGTTCCCTTGATAACCCATGGTACGTCCATTGTAGGGTATTTGGATCTTCCACTATAAGTATTGACGAAGATTACAACGGCATTCTCCGTAAATATTAGAAGAATACTATAGAGAATACTAAAAAATATGTAAAGGGCGGTGGAAAAGCTCCTAAGAGTGCTTGAAAATGGTGTAGGCATGAGATGATGTGCGTGACCATGTGTCTTTCCCTCTTCCTTGGACGTGCAAGGGCTGATTTAGAGGCCTTGATTGCTGAATATTTGATTTAAGGTAAGTTCCCCATTTGACTTTTAATTGAAGATTCTTTCCTTGTAGAGAAATTGCTTAAGGAGCAAGTTTAGGTAGAGATTGACTTTCTCTTTTGCTATTTTGAGGCAATATCCTGCAGAATATGACTATTGTGATGGTGGAATTAATGCTGAAATTCAGATGCTGAGCTGGCAGCTCCGCAGCTGGACTGGTCATTCGGGTAGCAGACCACTAGATTGATTATTCGGACAGCTGATCCTGCTGATGACTAGCAGGTCATTTCTGGCAGCCGATTTCGTGATTCAACCCCATTTTTTGAGAAATGTGTTGACACGTATATAGTGAGAAATGAGGTACGGAATTTGATCTCAACAAATTTGAATGTCCAACTAAACTATTGAAACCAAAAAACTTGTTATTCTCATAAATTCACCAGTGTAATTGATAAATAGATTGCTTAGATTACAATTTTTCCTCTCGCTTCGTTACTTCTGCAATTTGCGTCATGTATAGGGCGGTCCAAGATGATCAACGTCACAACATTCATGTCCCACCCTGAGAGGTGGTTGGATTACATTCACACTTCGCAGGCTTCCTCGGTGATGTCTATTGTGAATGTGATATAGGACACTGCAACGATCAATTTTTGCTTTAAAAATTATTTCATAGTCAAAGAGCCAAAAGTCTAAAATTAAAAGATAAAAAAGCCAACACCCACGAAAAAGAAAGAAAAAAAAAAAAGCATTGATCACTACTACTTTAGGGGATAAAACATTAATAATTCACCTTATGGCCTCAGCTCCATTTTCTTTTTTAAACCCATAAACAAAGAACATATAATTCACGTACGGAGAAGGTAATATCGTGTTCTATAAACGGACCTCATCGATAATTCTATTTGGAAAATGGTTGACTAGAATAAGATTGTGGACACCAAAATACCATAATTGCACCTCATTTCTCGCTAACGTGGGACTTGCCTCATTAACTCCTCATTTATTTATTTTTTTCTTTTTGATAAATAAAGCGGTGTTATTTGATTTATATGTTTAAATTAAAAAATTTAAAAATAAATTTTAATTTTTGTGAGAGAAAAAAACAATTCAAACAAAAAAAAAAAAAAAAACGCACCCATCATCAACTCTCTTTTGACCCTCGAGCGAAAGAAAAAAAAAAGAAAAGAAAATCTCCCTTTTGGCCATAATGTTGCAGTTGCACAGCTGTACCAAAAGATCTTTCTTCTTTTGGGATGCACATGCCCAACTCATAAAATCATAGTCATGGACTCATGGGCGTATAACAAAGGTTTGTATTTCTAAAACCGTCTTAAAATATCATCCAGATTTCAAATTTCTTTTCTCTTGAATTCTTGTTCTTTCTTTTGAATTTTCTGTTTCTTTCATTCGGTTCGACCTCTACGTTTTCTAGTAATTTTACTTCTCATATTGATTCTATTTTTTTTTCCCCTCAAATGTATTTGCATAAATTGAAGTTAATTAGCAGCTACGTTGATGTCTTTTGTGTAAATTATATTTTTAAATGTGTACAAATATGTCAATATCCATACGAGAGTAACAGCCCAAGAAAGTCGAAAGATTCAATAAAATTGCAACTTCAATTTACATCATTATTGAGGAGCTTTTTATGGTGGCCATTTAATTTCATCTAAATTATATACTAAAATAAAAAAGGGGAATTTTTTTCGATACACTCAGTCATTTTTAACTACTGATAGTTACTGTTGGTTAACTGTTAAATTGTGTTTTTAACAATCTCACATGTGATTGCAGCAGTTCTGTGTCGTACGGTGTAAATTTTTAATATGAGTACTCTCAAATTAAACTGTAAAAATCTTAATTCAACAATTAACTATCAGTAGTTGAAAAAAAAAGACCTATTAAGAAAAAAAAGAAATAAAGACGTAAAATCTTGAAAAAGATTTTTGAGTTATGGTAATTTGAGTTGAATTTGAGTTATAACTTGGTTTGAGATAATAATCTTTTTGAGTTTGTGTTTGAGTGGGTCAAAATTTGAATTTATATGTAAATAGTATTTTAATAAAAACTCAATGGTAATGAAAAATTTTAATATGGTATATGCGTGTGGTTTTATTCGTCTCTTCGTTGTGAATGCATAGAAAAAAAAATCATCTCAATCGGAATTAAATTAAAAAAGTTATGTCATTTTAAAGAATAGAAAAAATACTGTTTATTAACTTAAGTATGAGTTTAAAAACTTAAATTGAAGGGAGAACTTGAACTCAAATTTTAGTTCAAATTCAAGTTTAAATTCAAATTTTACAAAAAAAAAAAAAAATATGAACTTAACGTGCTAACCGTGCGCAATAAATTTTTTCAATTTAGGTGCAAAAGAACGAGATCATGTAATCCTTTTTCCACTCAAGAATTCTCGTTATCAGGGATAACGTGCTAACCGTCACGTAAGATAGTTTATGTTTTTCCTTAACATAGGGAAAAACGTGGTCGTGATCTGCCACAGAAGTTCAAGTAATAAAGAAAGGTAGATGGGACGTTCCAATCAATGAAAATCCACGTGAAACTATATATATATATATATATATATGTGTGTGTGTGTGTGTGTGTGTGTATGCACAACATAATTATCACATCCGTTACTTTTTCAAGAACAGTGACACAAACAAGAAGCTCAAACTTGACTCTTCTTCTTCTTTTTCTTTTTCTATATCAGAGCTCATAAGCTATGAACTGGTGCGCAATAAAGAGCTGGTGGAGAAGCCATGGAACCTTGAGAAACTTGTACTTGCTGGTCCTGGGTCAGCTCCTTTCCTTGGTTCTTGCGCTTATGAGCTTCACTTCCTCTCTCATAGCAAGTCTGGGTAACTTTTGGCTAAAACCCATTTCAGATTTCATTGTCTATTTCCTTTTTCCTTTTTGGTTTTTCTTTAGATTGTTGGATTTAGTGTCTTGTTTGTATTATGGGATTTGGATGTAGGTGTGGATGCGCCTCTTACTCAGAGCCTTTTCATTTACTTGAGTTTGGTTTTGGTTTATGGGAGTATCTTGCTATATAGGCGCCAGGGACTGCGTGTATGTATATATGTGTTTTTTTTTTTTTTTTTTCATTTATCATTTTCCATAATGTTGGTGAATTCAAATCCATTGTCCAAATCATGCCGTGCCGCTTCAACACGAATACATTGATTGGACGGGAATTGCGACAGTTGAATTTTTTACCGATGATCTAATCTGATGTTTGGTTGGAGGATTCAAATCATGATTTGAATCATAGTTCATGGTTCGCTACAGTGTTTTCTCTCACAAAAAATACACGTAAATCGAAAATGGTTCTAATCACATGATTCTAATCCATGAACTAAACGTCTCCTAAGTTTGTTGTTAGAAAGCTAGGATTAAGAAGAACTACTAATTGGTTTTGTTGATTTTAGTTAGATTGCTTAATTGGGAAGTTCTGAAAACTGTGATAAATAATGAATTTGTGGGGTTCTTGCAGGTTTCTTGGTATTGGTATATCCTGTTGGGGTTTGTTGATGTCCACGGGAATTATTTTGGTGCGTGGTGGTGGTTAAGCTTTCTTTTTCATGCCTTTATGATAATGGTTGCCCCCTTAAAATAAAATTTATCATTGACTTCATTTTTGAACATGATCTTGCAATGTGGCATGGAGATGATTGGTAGATCTACTTTATGAACATTTTGAAATTGGGTATTACTTCTTGCTAAGGTCGATCATTAGACAAATGAGCAATACATGTAAGAGTGATGCAAGAGCGTACTTGAATTTGGGAGACAGCCTATGTAGCTTGAGCCTCAAATAAGAGCCTAAGCCCTCTGTTGAGTGCGTCCATGGATTCGTAAAAAACTCCTCAAAATAAGGTCCCAAACAAGTAGTCTTTGGATGGATTCCAAAGTCTAGTCCTGAGTGGTTTTTAAAGGATTTGATTGCGCATTTCCTATCAGTTGCATCTTTTGAGAAGAATGGTTGCGACGTTCCTACATCAAAGAGTTATTAATTTCTTGATTTTTGTTTTTGACGCAGTTAACAAGGCATTCCAGTTCTCATCAATTACTAGTGTGACATTATTGGACTGTTGCACAGTAGCGTGGGTGATAGTTTTGACATGGATTGTCCTAGGCACTCGATATTCGTTATGGCAGCTATTTGGTGCAGCCATATGTGTGGCGGGTCTTGGCCTGGTGCTCCTGTCCGATGCAGGGGTGGGTGGTGGAGGTCACTTTCTTTTCCACTTTTCTTGATCTACTCTCTCCATTTTCAGGGCACAACTGTGTGTGTAGAATTATGTTTAATTTTGTGATATTCTGTTGCATATGGTTTTCTGTGTAGGTCGTTCAAAACCTCTTCTTGGAGACACACTTGTCATTCTAGGGACTATTTTCTTTGCACTGAGCAATGTTGGTGAGGTTGGTTAGTCCTCTTTTCTCCCTACCATCTCTTGTTTACCTTTTCAATTCTGAAATAGAATGATTGCCTCCTTGGAGCTGCTAAGTTCCTAGTCCTTCCTAAATTGCAGGAGTTTTGTGTTAAGAAGAAAGATCAAATTGAAGTAGTTTCCATGATTGGTGTCTTTGGATTTCTGGTGACTTTGTGTGAGATGTATCCTTCTCTTATTACTCAATATGCAAGAATAGTAGCTTCTGTATATTATTTATAGGGTTATTCTAATTTTTAGTCCCCTAAACTTAGGAACAATTTTTATTTCTGTCTCTGACACTCTAAACGTCCCATAACTAGTCTCTGATCTATAAATTTTATCCATTAAAGTCATTCCGTCAAGATTTTTTAAGAAAGTGAATGAAAAATGGCATGTGACAGTCATATGACACATTAGTATGAGCTTTTAATGTAGTATCACATGATGGTGACATTTCAATTTTCATTTACTTTTTAATGGATTCTTAATGGAAGGACTTAAATGAAAATTTTATGGATCAGAGGCTAATTGTGAGACGTTTTGAATGTAGGGACCAAAAACGGATTTACCTCAAAGTTCGGGGACCAAAAATGAGACATTAGAATTCTTAATTTTGTATTGTTTGCCAACATTGCCTCCATTCCTTATTTCCTTGACATTGTCTTAGACCTCCTATAGAGCTGAAGAGCTTGGAATCAGTCAGATGGACCACGGATATTGTAAGTTATTGAAGCCGGCATAACCTTTTTTTTTTTTGTCTCATATTATTAATGATCTTTTGAAAGTTTGCTTTGCAATATTCAGGAAAAAAACAAAACATTCTTATACCATTTTTTTTACTGGGGATCTGTACACAAGTTTCGACATGAAGGAAATCCTTTCTACTATTTCCTTTCTACAATATTTTTCTTCTTTGTTTTGTTTTGTTTATAGATTTTAAATTTCTGATTGGATATTTTCTTCAGGTATTGTCATTTGCTGGTTATGTTATGTCAGGCTTTATGTTCTACACACTGGTTCCATATGTTCTGAAGGTTAATTTACATTCACTCTAATGTGGTAAATTTGCTTTCAATAATATCCAGTTAGTTTTCACCTGAGAATACTCTACCAGAATGTTATTCGAATAGTCGATGTGAATCAAGATGTAATCACTACTTGCTTAGGAACTCCAATGATACAAAAAAAACCTGTTTCTTACTGTTATTGTCACTGCTATTCCTTATAGGAAAAATTAGACCGACACCCCTTGATTAATAGCAATATTACAGTGACACCCTCCCGACCAAACTGAATTACAGTGATCTAACTTAAGTCCCGTCAACGGGTCAAGGACTGTTAGGCAATTTCGACGTAGGTTCGAGGGTGTTAGTATAAATATTCCAATAGATCAAATGTGTCTTAGTTGGCATGAATCAGTTACTGAGAAATACCACCTCTACCTTTTTTGGTTGGGAGTTTTTTTGTCGCAGCTGAGTGGGGCTACAATGTTCAACCTCTCTATTCTCACAGCTGACATGTGGGCAGTCGTTTTTCGCATCTTTTTCTACCATCAAAAGGTACCATTTAACATTGGTTGACAACACAATGACATAATTCCCACCACATTATCCGTCTCTCTAGCTATAACTGCCATTGCTGGTGCGAAAACTGACCGAAATTCGACCACAAAATCTGCAGGTTGACTGGTTATACTACATCTCTTTCGCGGTTGTTGTTATTGGGCTCGTCATTTACTCAGCAACGTATGTTCTGTATCTTCCTTTTTATTGGTCACATTTTAATCGAATAGTTGTGGTAGTTCATGGTTAACAAATATGCTCATGTATGTGTAAGTTCTTTCTATTTTCATGTTCAGAAGAACCATAGAAAGATGGTTCTTTTTGTTTAATTATGTAATTATTTCCACTAACCTTAAAAAAGAGTTTTCAATCACTGAGGTTCTATGAGTGCATTTTAGCATACATAAGATAACTTTGTATTACCCAACTTGAAAATTTTCCTTATTGATTGAATTCTACTTGAGTACTAGAGTATAAAGATTTTAACTGTTTAATTATGTGATTATTTCTCCCAACACTTGTGCTTTTATTTATGCAGTGAAAAAGATCCTAATCCGGTATCAACCTTGGAGGATGGAGACGCCAACGTGCCGTACCAAGTACTCGTCGGCGAGAATGGTTCTTTGGCTTCATGAGAGACGGAGAGAGAATCTCCATTCTTGTTTTTAAAGTTTCACATGCTTATTAAGATCCTGTTTCTTACAGAATATGACTTGGGAAAGTTATGACGTTTAGGGAATATTGAGAAGATCATTGACAGAGGGAAGATCAGTCTAGATAATCAAGTGTTAAGAAGAGTTCAATTTAATATTTTTAACAAAAGATATATCTATATTGCTGTATAAAGAACGTAACAAAAGACAGTTAAGAAGAGTTCAATTTAATATTTTTAAGAACTCACCAGCTACGTAATTGTATTGTATAAATATGTAATAGGATAGAGGATGAGAAAAAAAAGATTAATCTCATAAATGGTTCTTAAAATTTACCCTCAATCTTACTTTATTTTTTTACTTTTAAAACGTCTCATAATTTGTTTATGAAGTTTTACTTTGTTTTAATTTCAGTCTTTTCGTTAGCTAAGTGTAAAAATTTAATGAAATCTGTGTAAATAAGGGACCAAAATTAGAAACATATAAAGTTTGAGGAATAAAAAAACACAAAAACAAAAGTTAATTTCTACTGATAATTTAACTATTTTCAATTTTAGTTCGTACTTTTACACAGATTTCATTAAATATTTAACATCTAGTTGACAAAAAGATCAAAACTAAAATCGAGTAAAAGCTTAGAGATTAACTGTGAGACACTTTAAAAGTCAAAAATCAAAGTGTCATTGAGGATAAATCTTAAGGACCATTTATGATTTTAATAAAAAAATAAAAAGCTACCAAAAAAAGGAAAATGCAAAAAAAAAAAAATACTAAAATAAAGGAGAGCAAAGCAAACAATACGGTGCGCTTTTTATGACCATTGTTGAACAGTGGAGTCCATATCATATGGGCTCTTTAAGTTAGGATATGTTTACTCCCAAGAATTTTTAATTCTGTTGGTGGTTGAGTAAAAGAGGGAAAAAAATGGAAAAAAAAAGAAATACCACTTAAAATGATAAAAAAAATATTATTTATACCATTACACTTAAAAAAAAACCATGGATGACGACAGGATAAAAATGTACCACAAACAAACAACAAGACGGGAAAAAAAAAAAAAGCAATTACACTGAAAAAAAAAAGAGTAACAGATAGAAAAGGCACAATTGGACAATAAAACGACATTAAAAACTGAAGCTACAATAAATAAGAAAAAGATAATAAGAGAACTACAATAATATAAATCAAACGACAATCAGCGTAAAAAATTCAAACGACAATCAAAACAACCAAATTTTCAACAAAAACAGGAACGACAACGAAATAGAACAAAACTACAATCACAATTTTGACCATAATATGAAAACGGGAAGACATCGGTCAGACAAACAACAGAAACGATAAAATGATAATTATGACACTAGACAAAGACGATTAGAATAAACGACAATAAAAAATAATAACAACAAACGGGGCAATAAACGAAACGCGACAAAAGTCAATAGAATATAAAACGACACGAAAGATAACAGTGACGAACGAGATTAAACGACATTGATGGTTCTTTTATGTCTTTTAAAATATTGAAAAAATTACAAATTTACTAAAAATATTCCTTTTAAAAATTTATACTTCTTGATTAATTTTAATATAAAAGATCATAGAAATATACGAGCTAAAGCGGCTCCATTATAAAAGTTATTTTTAAATATGACCCCTTTATATTTCCCCCAAGAAAATGAACATCCATTAATTATTAATTAACAAAAACAAAATAAAAAAACCAAACAATATATATCCTCAAACGACACACGAACCACGAACTCTGACAAGCAGTTTTACCGCTTTCTCCTATGGATCAACAAAACCCCGCTCCTCCTCCTCCGATCGCAACTTCCGCCGCCGTCTCCGCCGCTCCCACCGCACCACAGCTCCAACCACAACCACAACCTCCGCCGCCAAAGCCGCAGCCACAGCCGCAGCCACAGCCATCGCCGTCTTCCTCCGCAACGGCGACTCCGTCGTCAATTCTGACTCCACTGCCGCCCTCCTCAAACCCCAACCCCGTCCCCAACCAAAACCCTAACCCTAGGCCGCCGACGCCATTGCCGCTGCAACATTCTCAGTCCCTTCCTCCGCCGAGCAGGCCTCCGGCAACACTGACTCGCCCTTGGCAGCCGTCTCATTTGGCACCGTCTTCAGCCTCCGCCGGAATTTCTCCTTCCTCTTCTTCTCTTTCTTCTTCGGCGTTGCCTCCGACCTCTGCGCCACCGCCTAGAGGCGGTGTCGCCATCGGCGTTCCGGCGCACCGGCCGAGCCCCTCGCCTTCCCAGCCCGCGCCTTTCTCGGCGTCGTACGGACATTTCGGTGGATTAGGTCGTAGCGGCGTCGGTCTTCCCGAATCGTCCCCAAATTCCAATGCTTCTCAGGTGAGAATTGCAGACTAGGTTTTTGAAATTTTAGGTTTCTGTGCGGCATGCAAATGCATGTAGCGAAAATTAGTCCGCCAAAATGATTTATTTTTGAAGAATTTACTGTTCATATGCATTTCTGAGAAGCTGAATTGAGGATTATAGGCAAAGCTTTTGTCTTTGTAGCTCTTTAGAGTACCAAATTGCTGGGGTTGGAGATATTGAGGGTGTCATAACATGCTTGTAGTAATAGATATCTTGAATATTTAGGTGAGGCCGTCCATGCAAGGAATCGGGATGCTGGGATCGCTCAGTTCTGGTGCGCAAATGCGGCCGGGTGGGATACCGCCTCACCATCAACAAAGGCCTGTTCAACCCTCTCTGAGGCCGGTATCTTCCCCCAGTAATCAGCTTCCTTCTTCGCAAGTAAGTGACATTTTCAATTTTAACTCATTTCATTTTTTGTTTTTGTGTAATTACTTGCATACCATTCCTAATGCTTTGCTTTGTCGTTATTAAAGGGAGCATTCGTGTTATGTTATTTTTCAAGTGGGGTGTCTGTGTTCAGTACCCCTTACTTCATAAAGCATGTGGACAGTTGAAAATCTTCAAACGGCTAAGGTTTATAATTCAACTTTTCATTTTCATTAGAAATGGATATTGAAAAATGAAGGACAAGGAGTTGATATATGGCTGTTTACTATAAAGGTGCCAAGTGTAGTATTGAAATAGTGCAGTATTTATTTGTTGAAGGATCAAGATATTGAAATGGCACCTGTAGATGGTCTCAGATGAATGGGGAAAGTATCTTCCTCTTAAGTTCAGCGTGATCGATTAATTCTTATCTTTGGGTTGCGTACTTGTGTTATCTGGTCCATACAACTTGGTATTTTCTTGTGTTTTTCGGTACATCCCTGGCGATTGAAAAGTCCTCATTCCTATAGATTAGTAAATTTGTTAATTGGTTTCTCTGCAGCAGAATTACCAGGCTCATAGCCTTCTGAGAGTGCCATCAGCAGGATCTCCTGGTTCGCCATCACCGAGTATGTCCCAAAGTGTGCAGTCTCTTAATCAGCCGTGGTTGGCATCTGGATCACAAGGTAAGCCTCCTCTACCATCCCCTTCATATAGGCAGCCGATGAATCCGCAGTCCCTGCAGCAGAGATCACACATGCAAACTCAACCTCAACAGCAAATGCAACCGCAACTGCAACCGCAATCGCAGCTGCAGCCGCAACCGCAACAGCAACAGCAACAGCAACAGAATCATCAACTACCCATGACTGCACAGCAACATATGTCAGCTTTGCAGCAGCAGCAGCAACAACCTTCACCGTCACAACAAGCGCATGAACATTATGGTAAACAAGTTCCCTCATCAAGAGTTCCACAAGCTTTATCCCATCAACAACAGATTACAAGGGTTCAGGCTTCGGGAAACCAAAAGTCGTCTACTCCTGCAAGTGTACAACCTAATACAGTTCAGTCAGTGCCTCAGAATAGAATATCTACTGCAGAAACTGATGAATCTTGTAATAGGATTCTTAGCAAAAGAAGCATCCATGAGCTAGTCAGTCAGGTGAGATCGTGTTGGTTCTCTATCAGTATCAATCTATCAAATTCTTATTCTGAAATAAATCATTTATAGATAAATGATAGTAGACTTGAATTGATGTTGGAAACTCTGGGTAATTATTGGCAAAGCTAAGCTTAAGACTTTGTAGTCATCTATTTTGCATCGGGTATCTACTTGCCACACCTAACGTGGTTATTCCCTGCTGAACTCCATTTAATCCTCTGAATGCCTAGTCTATATGCTCCAAGATAACAAAAATTGAATTGCTTCATCACGATCTTGATTTCAGTCTTAAAAAATCTTCTATGTTTGTGTTCTGATTTTCATTATTTTTACCTGCTATTAATGCTTCACGGACAGGTTGATCCATCTGAGAAGTTAGATCCTGAAGTTGAAGACATTCTTATGGATATTGCAGATGATTTTGTTGAGTCTGTAAGTAATCAAACTGAAATTTATTATTTTGTTAGTAATTTTATATGCCCAATGGACGAGTCATATCAAGATAATTTTTTTCTTCTCCTCTAAAAAAAATGTTGTAACGCTGGTACTTGGTATCTTCTTCTTTTGGTCTTTTTTTTTTTTTTTTTTTTTTCATTTAAATAATCTCCAGCTATGAGTACAATGTTCTCTTACCCTTGATTGTAATACTAGGTTATTCTACTTTGTCTTTTCTCAATTATCTCGTATCTTCCTTGTTGGGCAGATTACAACATTTGGTTGCTCACTCGCTAAGCATCGAAAATCAACAACTTTGGAAGCAAAGGACATACTCCTACATCTTGGTTAGTTTATGAGAAAATTCTTGGTTTAGTTTCTACTTTCTTACATGCAGAAGTTAATTTATTTCTGATGCAGAACGAAATTGGAACATAACCCTTCCCGGGTTTGGTGGTGATGAGATTAAGAGCTTTAGAAAACCGGTAAGAATTGTCATTTACTTGGCTCTCTTGCATTGGTTTTGTGGTATAAGAATGTTGTTATTGGGTAATTATGTTTTCCTTGAGGATAATCTGCCGACACTTCTCAAAGTCCTAATCACTTGCCCTTTTTCTTTTTGGGTATTTTTTATGATGGTTTTGCAGGTTGTGAACGATATCCACATGGAACGTCTTGTAGCTGTAAGTTGTGTGTATGCGGGTGTTGATGTTGGCATATCTAACGTCTTTGGCGTGTAATTTGTATGTCTAATAAGCTTTTTTTTCCCTTTTGGGCAGATAAAGAAGTCCATGTTGACAACCGAGACGGCAAATACTAGAAATCCCAGTGGACAAGCTGCTGGAAATGCAAAGGGAAGTCTGGTAAAGACACCTGCCAATATCAAAGGCTCTCCAAATGTCAAAATATAGTTCGACAAGGGCGTTCATCGACACTGCTTAATCCAAGAATGTTTATGCCAACAAAGGTATGTTTTGTATCTTTATACAATAGTATGCAGATATCATCCATATCCATATGCAAAGGAATTTCGCAAACATCCCTAAGTTCTCTTGTTTGGTGCAGGCGTCAAGTTTTGCAGAATGAAATCCTGATGTGATGCAATCAGGATTGTTTTTCTTTTTGAAGTCGTTACCAAATATTTTTCCAACCATTGTTTCACACAATGATGCATCCCGATATTGCGGGTTCACCGACTTGTTCCACAGCAGTAACCACTTGGTGCATGCACAAAGTTTTCTGATTGCATTCCCTTTTTAGAGGTCACCGTGGTATAAATGTTAAATCACTTTTTTCAGCATGGCAGAGCCCGAAATGTTCTGCTGTTTTTGTCTTTCTTTCGGCTGCAAATTAACGAATTACAGTCTTAGCCAATTTTTTCGTTCATTACAAAGCAAGATTTTCTCTTCGGTCTCGAGATCTTGGTTTCCCTAATTAAACTTTTAACTTATTCTTTATCGTGGATAGTAGTGGGTGATGATGGTGATTGTTGCATTATTTCAAGTTTTTTTTTTCCTTCTTTTTTCCCTCTCTTTTCTTTCTACATAATCTGATCTCGTCTAATTTGGGATGATAGTTTATTTTACCTGTTGGGGGAAATAATGATGGCTTTCCCATGTGTGCACATGGAAGTGTCTTGTGTATGCAAGTATAGTGAATAATTTTCTAGTGGGACTTTGAGCATGTGCACTTTCTCTAATGGTTGGAACATCATGTGCTGAACCTCCACTTGAACTTTCTCTGTGCTTATTATTATTATTATTATTATTATTATTTTGTCACAAACATGGGCAATGAATTTGATAAGGCATTTATTTTCCAAACTAATAAGGCATTTAGTTGTCCTTGTAGTTCATAAAAAATATGGCTTTTCAGTTAAGATTCTTCCTTAGGTGAGCAGCCTAGAGTTGTCAAACATGCTGTGTCAGGCCGGCACGGCACATCTGACCCCAGACCTGTGGCGGGTTTGGGCCGTGCCAAGGCCGGACCTGAGGAGAAACTCTCAGGCCCAGAATTGGCCCGCGACCCTAGTCCATAAGGGCCAGGGCCGGGCCTGGGCCCAGGCCCTTCACGGGTTGGCCATGGCCCTTGTAATTTTTTTTTTTACAAAATTTAATTAAAAAAAAGAAAATATATCATATGCCCATAAAAAATGTGATTTTATTGAATTGAGATAATATAAATAAGTACACATAAATGACAGTCTCGTTAAAAATCTTTTCAAGTAAAACTCGTGAGGAGATCGGGACAAAACCTTAGCGAAGGAAAAAAGAGTGCAGTATTCTAGGATAAGTAAATTACAAAACCTAAGTGCTTTGAAAAGATTATGTTATTTTTAAGTTAGAAAAATAGTCTTGCATTGAATCATCTGTATATTGTTGTTTTCGTCTTCTGGTATATTCCTAATCTTTAACGCACATTAGCCCCTCCAAGATATCTGGATGCATTATGCTTCTCTTCTCGTCAAGAATTCGGTTGGTTGCACTAAATGCTTGCACCGATGCTACCGTTGACACTGGAGTTGTCAGAATGTCACGAGCTATTACGGGCAGTGTTGGAAAACGATCGGTCTTGTTCTTCTACCATTGTAAGATGTCTAGTTTGTCATCATCGATTACAAAATTTGTTTCAAAATATTTTACTAATTCGGTAGACGCTTATGTTGATGACGATCCTGTCGTTTTCTCTTTCTTCTTCAAGAAACTCCACGACGAGTCTTTAGACCCCGAACTGCTAGTTGAAGTCGAAGTTCCCTGTTCTTTTTTACTTCTGCTGTATTTTGCTTCATACAAACCAAATAACTTTTCTAACATTTTCCTAACGTCAGTAATAGTTAGTTGCATATCAATACCTAAATTTTCTGTTGTAGCAGTCATCAAAGATTCAATCTCATGTACTCTACACCTAGGATCTAAAATGGTTGCTAATGTATATAATATAAGACAACATGACTAATAATTTTTAAATTTAGTTTCTATTAGCTTAACTATGTTTTCAAAAAGTTCAGTATCCCTATAATAAGAAAATGTTTCTGAAATATTAAATAGTTGATGTAAAGCTAAATGTGCAGTAGGATAATAAACTCCGGAAAATAATTCAGTAGCATTGTAGAAAACTTCTAAAAATTTAAAAAAATACTCACCAATCTGCCAATCTGTATTGAAAATTAAAAGTTGATCGTTCTTACTGTTTACATACACTGTGATGAGCTGTGAATACGAGAGTGCAGCCTTCAACATTAAATAGGTGGAATTCCACCTATGTCTCACGTCAGTTGGGAACTTTCTTGGGCACATCTGACTGTTCCTGCAATATTGTTTGAATTTTTGGAGCTGAGCTCCAGAACTAAATATGAAGGATAACAATTCTCTAATATTTGTTAGATTAGTTGAAATATGTTCAATTCCTGCCTGAACTACTAAATTGATTATGTGACATGCACACCGTTAATGAAAATTTCCCCTCAAACGCTGGTTTTAAACTACGTTTAAACATGTTAATTGCAGTCGTGTTAGTTGATGCATTATCAAAAGTAATAGTTAAAACTTTATATTCTATCCCATAAAACCTAAAAATTTCCATTATTGTTTCAAAAATAGCTGACGTGTTATGAGGATATGGACATAAACGAAAACTTATTATTCTCTTTTGTAAAACCCATTCATCATCAACATAATGTGTCGTGACGCATAAATATCCAGTTTTATTGCACTCCTCCCATAGATCAGAAGTACAAGATACAGTAGCATTAAAAGACCTAAAATTATCAACTAGAGATTGTCTCATTGCATAAAATACTTTCATGCAATCAGAACGAGTTGTGTTTCTACTTACCTGTTTAAATTGTAGGCAGAAGGCCGTTTGTATGAATTTTTCGAACGACGCATCATCTGCAAAAGAAAGAGGTAATTCGGCACTAGTTAGAAACTTAGCTAGTGCCTCACGAGCACGTTGTGCATCATATGTAAAATTTTGTAACCCTTGTGATGTGAGTGATAGTGTTTGTTGGTGAGAGTCCACACTCCCACATTGGTACAACGGTAGATATGCTTTTCAATGTCTATCAAGATTACTAGTACTCCCACCATTTTTATTAGAAAAGTGCTTTTTACAATACTTACACACCGCACAAATTTTCATTTCACCTGTTTTTAGATTTGGTCGGGGCTCCTCTGTGAAATGATGCCATGTAGGAGAAGTTCGCGGTCTTTTTCCCCTACTGCGTTCTCCAACTTCCTCGTTATGCACTGAAGCATTATCAACCGGAGTATTTTCCGGTTCAGTAGGGGTGAGGTTGGGAGGCATCATTTCATCCTCGAAAAATGGCTCATCACCAAGCTCAAGAAAAGCAGTGAAATCAAGGAAGTTTGATGCGACCATTTTCTAAAAATTGATTGAACTTAAACTTTGTAAATAAAAGAGCAAGAAAATGAGTGATCGCGAGAAAAAAAGTTTAGAATCAAAATCAAAAAGACAAGATGAGAAATAGAATGAGAGTAATTGTTGTGTGAGATTTAGGGTGAGATTAAGGGGTATTTATAGGGGATTTTAGGGGCTTTTTTCAGATTGTGACCGTTGGGCCCTTCGTGGGCCCAACAGTCACAATCTAAACGGGCTGGAGAGCTTTTTGGCAGGCCTGGGCCGGGCCGAACAATGGCCAAATTCGGGCTTAGGCTGAACTGGGCTTGGGCCGGGCCGTAGGCCTTCACGGGCTAGGGCCAAGCTTGGGCCGCGGGCTGAGAAGCCGCGGCCCAGCCCTAGCCCATCAAACGTGCCGGGCTGGCACGACCCGTAACAGTATCGTACCGGACCGTGCCAAATCCGGCACTGTTACGGGCTGGACGGTCTGACCCATTTGATAACTCTAGGTGAGCCTTCTTGTTCGTTCGTTTGTTTACTCGAACGGGTCTTTGGTGAATTTTAAGAATTTTTTTGCCAGGTAAAAATAACTAATGTACCACTATCTCATAGTTTAGACAAATTAGATTTTCATCAAGTTTGATTGATATTGTACATTTGTTTTGGTTATGATACAATTCTAATATAGGGTAGAAAAGTCAAAGGAAAAACATTATTGGAGGGATTTTAGAGTATAAATGAAAATATTGGATTGTTTGATAGAGATAAATTTGGGAAAGAAAGAAATTAGAAATTTATAGGGCATCCTATTTTTGAATCCTTACAGTTTTGGAAAGATAATAGAAGAGAAAATATTCCACGAAAAATTAGGGTATGACTATTTGTCTTTAATTACCCCATTTACGCACTTTGGGCAAGGGTATAATGGCAAAATAAATTTATACGGACAACTTCTCTCGTTTCTTTTTTTTTTTTTCATCTCTTATCAAACATTGAAAGTTTCTCTGTAGGATTAGAAAAATAAAATTATTAATAATTTAATTTTTTTTAATCGTTAAATCTGTATTAAAAATTATCTATTATGTATATTTTTTTAATCTCATTTAATTTTAATTAAATTTAACAGTCAAAAAATTAATTATACTGATAAGACAGGTTACGGAAAACAATCTCTTAAACATTATAGGAAGGAAAAGTAGTACCTTTTGTTTTAATTTTCTTCACTTAGATTTTTATCTTCTCCTTCCTATTTTCCACTTCTCTTATCAGACATATAATGTCAAACACGAAAGCCACCTCTACCATTCGTTACGCCATTCAACGTAAGTTAACATCAAGAAGTTTTCAACCTCAGTGTCCTAAATTCAACCACGTTGAAAATATGCTTGCGCTAAGAAGTAACTAATTCAAGGAAATGATTCGGCAAGCCAGAAAAAAAAAAAAAAAAATTAAATTAAGCAAATGCCTCAATTTTGGATGGTGATTTTACAGTTTGGTTAAGCTTTCTTTCATATTGAAAAACAATACCGATACCAAGCATTACTCTCTCTCTCTCTCATCAATACTAAGCATTATTATCATTATCATTATTTTTGCCTGATAGATAATGCTAAGCATTAGTTAAATGCTATGTTTGAATACATATACTAGCAAGCACACGGCACTCGCTACAACTCCCCCACTTTTATGAAATAGAAACCCAAACGCAATTCTTAGCTGGCGTCTAAAAGCCATATGGACAAACTCTTAAATAAATACATGAGGGGAAAAAAGAAAAACCTCAAGAACAATTAAACCAAATTTATTTTCTAATTTTCGGTATTATGAAAGAGTTTCAGTTCTAAAAATCGATTATGGATATAATACAATAGCTACATTAGGTTTGAAATTGGAAAGTTCATTTTTTCTAGGGGACTTTTTTTGGTGTTCCATTTTTTTTAGAACACTAGTGTTTCCTATTTTTCAGCATCTATATCAAAATCTGTCTGTTCTGAATACTTTTTCAATCTAGTGTGATTTTGACTAGATCTAAAAACTAAAAATGTAGAGAACACCGGTGTTTCTAAAAAAGAAGAAACACTAAAAAAACTATTTTTCTAGAGGAGGAAAGTTCAAACTTTGAAACTTACCCATTATTTTTCCAAGCATTGGCCTCGTTCAGTTCGCAGATTCAAGTTTTTAATTCGAGTTGAGGTGTGATTTTATGTGAGAGCTTTTCATTGTAGCAGAAAAAGTTAGATGTGATATTTTGTGAGAGCTTTTAACTGTAGCAAAACTGGAATTGAAAACTCGAATTGGTGAAATGAACATGGCCTTATTTTAACAGAATATTTTACATTCCTTGAAAAAAGTACGATACTATTGTTTTTAAAAGAAAAATTGCATTTAATTAAAATAAGGGTAATTTTGACAAATATCTCTTAAAATAGTACCATTAAGGATTTTTAAGTCTCAATATTGGCCTATTGAATTTTGTCCATTTGGAGTAAGTAATTTGACAGATTATTATCGATAATTTGACAGATGCCAGCGGCGGTGGGCGTAACTTAACAGATTATTGTCTAAAATTCAACAAATTATTATCTACAATTTGACAGATTATTATCAAAAGAGCCTATCACAGCAAAAGGGTAGAACTCTAAAAGGATGTGCTTAAGTGTCAGTTTTTACAATTTTCTCTTAAAATGATAATAAACAGTCATCTTGGTACAATGCTAACCCATCAGAGGGACAAACACACGCATGAGGCCCGAAACCGGGAAAGCACCTCGACACAATAACAACGAGTGGACTAAAAACTCGACTAGAGAAAACTCCTCTCTTAACATAAGCTATTGAGCGCTGGAGGGGTAAATCATCAAAACCCACAAAAAGGAGACATCTATATGGTACAAAAAAAATTCTAGCCAGACCATGACCACCCTATCGGCATTAAGCCGAACACCTAAATCTAAAAATAAAAAAAATAAAAACGAACAAACCAGACGAGGGTTGAGTGGGGAAATCACCAACCTTATTACAAACACAAAAGTTACAAAAATACAAAAACCTCCAACCACCACTGGTAAAAACCTCTAGTGAAAGACACCCGACCAAAGGACCATCAAGAAAGACAGCCAGTGAAGAGATCTCAGCCACCAAGCGAAAAACTCCTTTGAGTAAAGAGGTCGTCCATTAGGCTTTAAAGCTCCTAACTGGTTCAAATCTGCCCACATAAAGCCACTACACTATACATCACCACCATTAACGAGAAGCCCGCGATGAGACGAGTTAGATGACCAAATTTTATGATTGAGAGTCTGACGACGCGCCCAAAAACGGTATCAGAACTCCGGCAAACTTCTACTCTTCAAAAACCTTCTCACTCTCTCTAACTCTCCCTTTTAGATAAGTAAATATTAAGATAAAAAAGTACGAAACTTGATATTGCAGTGGTATCATATTATCTCACTTTATCATTGTAAAACAAAAAATGACAACTTTAACATGTGGCGTAATAAATAAATCATTATTGCACAGTTATTGTATAACATAATAAATAATGATCGTTGCCATGTTTGTCATCTAGAGAATATTTAGTAGAGAGATTTATTTTCTGATGTAAATAATAATTCGTGATTCGTTATAATATTTTTTCTTATAAAAAATTTACGTAAATAAAAAATAATTCAAATTACATGATTTAAATCTTCCGACCACGAATAAATTTTTAAAAAACTAACTTCATCACCAATTAATTAAAGTTATCCTCCTTTTCATAGAGATCTCCGGGTGGAGACAGGTATATATCCAAAGGCAAAATGCGTACCAAGATCCAGATCCTCTCTAAATAACACCTGTCAATCTCCAATTGGTCTAAAATAAATAAAAAATGGCAAAAGAAACTTCGTCGTCTTCGTCCACCTAACCAAACGACCTACCATTTTCTATATATTTATTTCTCAAAACCCAAAAAAATATATAAATAACCAAAACAACCCACCATTTGTATATATTTCGTCGTTCGAGTCTCGGTGTCAGCTCAGCTCATCGTCAGCCACTTATCGTCTCTTCGAGCACGACAAATCCCTAATCCACACACTGCATATTTTTCTGCATATACTATACTATATATACATACTATATACATACAGAATATATAATATTCTATATATCATAACGCCAAACGCGTATACACAGCACAGAGTGTATTGATTTGATTCCGCTGATCGATTTACGAAGCGCGTCTTGCGATGAATTGCAACGGTGTGGCCGCCGACGGCGAAAACGGCGGCGTTTTGGCGTCGCATGCACAGCCGGAGAAGCTCATTATCGATACTGATCCTGGAATCGGTGAGTCTCTTTTTTTTTTTTTTTTTCCGATCATCGTTTACAGCAATTGTTGATTTTGGCTCTGGTTTTGGTTGTTGCGATAATGTGAGAAAAGGAAAGAGAGGGAATTTTTTGTTTTTTTTAATTTTTAAATTTTCTTATGGTTTTTGATGTTTTGCGTTATGGATAGTAAGAAATTTGTTTAAACAAGGCGAATAATGAATGATTTTGGCTTGAATTTTTCCGAGTTGTGAATCAGGCGTGGTTTTTTTTTTTTTTTTTTTTTTTTTCCCTTAGCAACCAAACGGAATTCAATGTGTTGCTCTTAGTGGTAGTAATTTAGTGACAACGTATTTCTTTTGTCCTTTCTCTCTCTAACAAAAAAATAAATATAAGTAACCTTTTGGAGCTGGTGATGAGAAAGACTGTAAAAAAGCAGCTCTTTTTTTTTTCCTCTCCTCTTTTTTCCCGAATTTTTTTTTTCTCGATCCTAATAGTTGACCTTGTTCAGTTCGCATTTCTTGGTCCCCTGGTCCTTTTCTTTTTCTTTCAGAGAAGTTGAAAATTTTTCAAATAGTGTTTTTTCGAATAATAGTAAAGTAGGTGTAGCACCAGAAGATAAGGTGCGCGAAGGCGTTTGAGGTGGTTCGGACATGTCTAATGTAGACCGCTAAAAGCACTAGTTTGTGCTTGAGAGAACATTTTTATATCTAATACTAAGAGAGGGAGGGATAGATTAAGAATTACGTTGACCGAAGTCGTTAGGAAAGACATTCTAGATCTAGGCCTTTAGGAAAGTATAATTTCGAACAGAGCCATGTGAAAAAGTGAAATCTATATAGCTGACTCCAATTAAGTTGGGATTAAGACTTGTTGTTGTTGTTGTAGTAGTAGTGTTAAAGATTCGGTTCACGGCGACACTGAAAGTTCAGTTTTGTATTTCGGTAGGAAACATCCGTCCTTGCTGCTCTCTTTTGCTATTTTTTTTAAAAAAAAAATTATGTTCATTATTTTTGTTATTTTCGTGGGTTTTTGTTCTTAATTTTTGAGAAAGTAACTTCTCTATTGCCACAAAGGATAAGTAAATGTTTATCTTAGGAAAAGTAAAACATGAATTTGAATAAATTCAACTACAAATTTTTCTTGTATTTTTATCTGGGAAAATTAAGCTCTGTGTGGTCTTGGTCTTTGGGTTAATTATATAATTATATCGGCACCTGAGATGTTTCGTTTAAAATAAAAATGGTTTCTTCTGCATATGATATTCTTGAATTTATACTTGAATCTAAATGCTCCTTGGTTATGTACTTTAGCAATGCACATTTTTCATGTGAGATAATTTCCATGGGTTTTTGTTTATTGACAGATGATAGCATGGCCATCTTCATGGCGTTTCAAAATCCAGGGTTGGAAGTCTTGGGCTTGACAACAATTTTTGGTAATGTTACCACGGAAGACGCCACCCGGAATGCATTGCTTCTGGTCTGTATTTGTTTCAGCTTGTTTTAAATCTTATTTTTTAAGCTTTGATTACAATTTTGGTACTCGTAGCGGGATTCTAGTTTTGAATGCATTCATTGATCAAATAATGTCTTAATGTTTAAAAGGATAGTGTGAGATAGCACGGCGTCCAGATGTGCCCGTGGCGAAGGGCAGTCCTGAGCCTCTGAAGGTCATTGTTCTAACCTTTATTCTTTACTTGAAGTGATAACGATAATTGAATAATAAACAAATGTATTCCTTTGTTAAGTTGTGGAGTCTAATTAATTACTCTAACGATTTATTAACTTACATAGAGGATTATGCAGTAATTAAACTTAAGGAGTCTAATTCATAACATTCTTGGCATGCTTATCTACTTGACCTTTTTCGCTTACCTTCTTCTGTGCATTTTAGTCGTAATACTGGGGAATTTTTTTTTTTTTTTTTATCTTTTTAATTTTTGTGATAATGTGCTTTGACTTTGGTTGATGAAAGACCTTCAATCTCTCCCAGTTTATCTTTTGTTAAACTGTATTTACTTTGTTGCAACTGTTTTATTCTGGAAAAGGGTGGAGAGCCACGTATTGCTGATTTTATACATGGTTCTGATGGTTTGGGGAATTTGTTCCTACCTTCTCCAAAATCAAAGAAAAGTGAAAAGAGTGCTGCTGAATTCTTAGTTGATAAAGTCTCTGAATATCCTGGAGAAGTATCAATTCTTGCACTGGGCCCCCTCACGAACATAGCTTTGGTAACTTGCTGTCATTTGCTTTCGCTCATTAGGCTTCTGATTGAGACTTGCTATCTACTTATACTGTAGTTATATTGATACAATAATCTTGATCAGGCAATCAAAAGGGATTCTTCCTTTGCCAAAAAGTTGAAGAGACTAGTAATACTTGGTGGTGCTTTCTTTGCTTTGGGAAATGTAAACCCCGCTGCTGAAGCAAATGTAAGTGTTTTTCTTTTCTTTTCATGGTGACATACGAACAAGTCCAAGTCAGCAGACACCGGGACAAATCTCTTGCGTCTTAGTGGAATATTTTCCTGGAAAATCGAGTGGGCATTGTTTTCATTACTTTTTCTATGTTGGTAAACTTGTATAGGTTGATTTTTGCAAACATTTGTTTCTTCCTTTCTGAGGAAAAATGGATTTTCCTTCCCTAGTAGTAATTCTGGTTTTGAAAACAGCTCCAACATAGTACCCTTGAGTATCGCATTTCTTTGAACTCTCTAGTTGTCAGTTGTAAAGCACGAAACCTAGAGTTCAGTTCACTGGACTACTCTCAGCCGAGTGTGAATGACATATCACTTTGAAACTGCAGATATATGGGGACCCAGAAGCAGCAGATATTGTGTTTACATCAGGGGCTAACATTGATGTCGTTGGAATAAACATTACAACCCAAGTTATGTTTACAGGTGGGATTTCCAGCTTCTTGTTTGGTTTTCATTCGCAGACCAGCTTCGCTGAAGCTGATTTATGGGATTAGGAAATGCTCCTTTGAAATTTAATCACTTTTATTATGGTTTCAGATGCTGACCTCCTTGATTTGAGGCAATCCAACGGAAAGCATACAAAAATCTTATGCGACATGTGCAAATTCTACAGAGACTGGCATGTGAAGTCTGATGGTGTTTATGGTATTCCTCTCAGCCACTGTACTTTTAGTTATCCTTTTTCATTAGCTTTTTAGTGTACTTCATCTTAATCTCTCTTGGGCAAAATTGTTTTCAGGTATTTTTCTTCATGACCCAGTTAGCTTTGTGGCACTGGTTCGACCTGATCTCTTTACATTCAAGAAGGGGGTCGTCAGGGTCGAAACTCAAGGCATATGTATAGGGCATACATTAATGGATCAAGGACTCAAAAAGTAAGATTATCACACTAATCTTCTTCAATTTATTGTTTTTGTTTTTGTTCATATTTTCCCATTATATAATTATACTTTTGTTTGCTATATAGATGGAATTCCAGCAACCCATGGTCAGACTATCCCCCCGTCTCTGTTGCATGCACAGTGAATGTGGATGAAGTTGTCAGTTATATCAAAAATATATTATTGACTCCATGAGAGCCTTAGGTGGCGAACTCGGGAATGAAGTTTGGGATACATCTGCCGAAATTTCCTTTGTGGCTTCTGTAGCTTCTTTCCCTTAATGCTGGGCATGGGGCGCAATGGAGTTCGGTGCGAAGAGCAAGCTATCTGTGAATTCTTCCCCTTGTTTATTTTTAACTTGTAAAGAACATTTCAAGAATGATGTTCAAGTTTGCACGATAATGAACAAATTTAGTGCATTCCTATGCATAAATTGAACTTGTGTCTTTTCCTTTTATAAGTTGTGAAGAGAAATTAATTCTGGCATTTGAAAACCACATGCCAGTGTATAAGCCTATCAAGTACTAGCCTATGTGCATGCATTATTTTCAGGACAACTATGGTAAAACCTTATTGATTTTGGGTTGCGCTTGCATCTTAAATGTCTGTCATTCGGTTAAAACGATCTGGACAGTTAAATATAAGATTGCCTTTTTGCTATTAGTTACTTGTTGACAAAATGCCGCAAATTTTTACAATTGAGACCATTTTTACACTCTTCCAATGACTCAAGTTTAGGATGCATATTAATTTTTTTTTAAGAAGGCATGTACTGTAGTTGTGCTATGGTTTCAAGATTCACCAATTTTTTGCAGAGTGACGAATGAATTGAGTCACAAGCAAAGGCAATCTTTGGCTGGAGGGAAGAATATTTACATAGAGAGGTTATAGGCTATAGGCCAGCCAATAATAGGGATGAATTAGAGATGTGAATCAACCTTATAAAATTACATGAAATGTAGTTTAGAAAAGATTGTTGTTCTAGTCTAGATTTTGCCTAAATTTCCTCCGCAAGAGATTATGATCACATGGGGTTGAATTATTCGAATCAGGTACATATGTATCATAAAGTTGGATACGTAAATTGTTATTTATTTCAAATAATTTTAAAATGTCTATTTACTTAATTTAGCTTCAAAAATATGCTTTTTTTTACTACAATTCCAAATAACAATCTGAGCTGTTAAAATTTATTCGACTAAAAAGTGCATTTCTTTTTTTAACGACCAAGATTGTTTCGTTCCATCATTAGTGGTTGAAATTTGGACTGCACGGTATAGTTTCACGCCGATCATTTCATAAACTACACAACCTTCACTGCCCAACCTGTCACTTGCATTGTCTCTTAATTTTGCACTTTTAATTCATTGGTTGTCAAAAGGATATTTTTTACACATACGTGAGGGTGGTGTTGTAAGATCAACACATTAATCAAAGTGGACCTCATTTCATTCAAAGAATACAAGCCAAGACCAAATCCATTTAATAAAAGCAGTTAAACTAACTTCTTGCATACTATTTTTATGTTTTTCGGTGACAGTTACCTACTACACTGAGATAACCATTTCAACTCCCGCCAACAATAGCCCACTCCAACCACCAAAAGAAAATAAGAGAAACCCCTTATAGTATATAACGCCATCAAATGTTTTCTTAGTCCCAACAGAAAACAAAAAAAAAAAAAACACACAACAAAAGGCATAAGAGTGAAGGCAGAGTAATACAAAAGTTACACACGAGTTGATAATCACCATGGTTTGTGCTTGTTCAGCGACTGCGATGGCCGAGAGGGCTTCAGGGTATTGTGCTTTATTCCTGGCAGTATTGCTGGTCCTGAGCTGCTGCGAATCGGGTGAAAGTGAATTCGCGATGATGGGGCAGAGAAAGGGCATCAACAACACCAGGCCTTGCGACGAAATTTACGTGGTTCGGGAGGGGGAGACGCTGCAAACAATCGCTGAAAGGTGTGGAGATCCTTACATTGTGGAAGAGAATCCACATATCCATGATCCTGATGATGTTTTCCCTGGCTTGGTAATCAAGATCACTCCATACAGAGATACCTACTAGATTTTTTTTTCTCGTTCTATTTGATTTTCATAAGGTTTGAGTATTAGAATGTACATGAATTGATCTGTCTGTATTGGGAGGCCTTGTTCTATGTAATTTTCTTTGCACTTTTTGAAAAGTCCTGTGAAAATGTAGTATGGTGGTTATGTATATGTGTGAGTATATATTTATATATATATTCTCCTCATAAGTACATGAAAAATGTTACAATAATTACCTGATTAGTAGGTTGCTACCAATTACTTTGAGCATATTGCGGTTGTTAGAAGAGAACATAAAAGCAGAATTCATAACATTGTGTTGTCTCACAAAACAAAGAACATTTTTCCAAAATCAACAAATAGGAATTGAAATATTGAGTTTGAAAAATGCTTTTATCACTTAGGTAGCAAATTTAAGTATTAAGTGGAAATCCAAACACACCATATGAGCAATGTTATAATTAATCTAGCCTCTAAACTTCTTTCTACAAATTTGTGCATTTATTTGGAAATAAATCTTGGAGTTAGATTGTGGATGACCGTTTCCACAGCGCAAGTAATAATGGGTCATGGGCTATTTTAATGCGGAATCAAAGAAGGCATTTATGCTGCTTAGTAGTTGCCAAACCAATAATGCGTGCAGACCACAGTACGACCTGGTCAGTACTTGATCGTAAACTCTCAGCAGAAATAAGTGATGGTCATTGTATTTGCAGGCCAGGAAAAGATTCAAATCCTATATAATAAGCATGAACAATTATTAGCCAAAAAACAATAGTAGGAAAAATAAGAAAATAAATACAAACAGGCTGTGCTGGTGCTGGTGCTGGTTCTGGCATTCTTAGACTTGGGGTACGGTGACTCTCATTTAAGTTGGGAGAAAAAAAAAATACCACTCAGATAGTAAAAAAAATTATTAATGTCACTTTATTAAAAAATAATAATTCTCATTCAATTAATAAAGAGAAAATAAAATGTCACAATGATACTCAATTTTTGAAAAGAGATCTCTTGTTTAGAATAACATAAATAATAAGTTTGCACAAAATCATGACAACCCATGTACTTTTCTCTTAAAATTTAAATAAGGACATATCTCAAACATGGGACCTTATGAAACAATTGATCAAAAACTATGTAAAGTGTATCTGAAGATCCTTGATATAAAATCTATCTACTTTCTCATAGTATTTTGAATATATTTTTTTTTTCAAATCAATAATTTGTGGTACCAATTTTGCTCTTTTAGAATGTCCCCTTAGCTTAGGTTTTTAGAACATCTCCAATGTAATATTATATTTAATGTGCTAATTATAAATTTATTATTGAGTGTAAAAAAACACTCTAATATAATGTTATTTATTGTGTTAAATTTGCTATATGTTATATTTTGTAGTAAATTTCTCACTAAGTATAACATATTACAAATTTGACATTTGATTGTTATTTATTGAAATATTTACTTTTATATGTAATTATTGCAATTTTTGTATTTTTAAATTATTTTAAAAAGAAAAATGATATTTATCTCTATCGAGATAAAATCTCATCACTCACAAAATAAGGGGCCCCACTAGATTGGGTCTCACCTATCCACCTAGTGGGACCTACTATGAATGTTTACTTTTATAACTTTTAAAGTTTAATGATTATAAGAAATAAGTATATTTAGCATTTCAAATAATATTATGCATTAACACGAATAAAAATAACATACTATATTATACACTTTATGCCAAATATAAAATTCACCTTAACATTCACCTTAACATTTACATTGGAAATGGTTTTAATTTTGTGCTCTTTTTCTTAAAACGTTACCCCTCAGTTAATAATATATATAAAGAGAAACTGATGGCAAAACTCTAAAGAAAGTTGGTCAATATTTACGCTCCTACATATATAAACTGTTTGCAATAGGTGACACGTTTTTCTACCATGTTTCTCTCTCTCTCTCTCTTTGCGGAGCCAACAATCCTTGATGCGTTGTCAGTCGTCTTTGCAATGTTCCTGAATTCCTCTCCCCCTGAGCCGCCGCCATGGAATCCCCACCTCCCTTTTAGGTAGCCATGCAATGTTTTTAGTATCCCCATAAAAGACTGTCATAGCACCGTAAGACTATCTTCGGAAACACGGTAGTAGTAGCTAAGCTACTTCCGTATCATGGGGTAATACATTCAGTATCACAACGGGTTACTACTGGTAATACGATAGATACGGTAGGTCAATGTATCCTTGGTTCTCAAAAAGGTTAGAAATCAGTATATACAATTTGATTGTCGCATTTTTCTTCAAAGTTAGGTTACTTTTAGATGCATTCTACACGGGAACATTTATTTTCTGAAGCACTGTATCGGACACGGAAAACGTCTTTCAAGTCCCGTATTCAGTCAATGCCACAAGTTTTCTCAAGTAACTTTCTCGACTAATATGCTTGCTTTTGCCAAGAAGCAAGCAACAAAAGCCGGTAGTTAGCTATGGGTGACTAATGGTAACCTGCCGGGTGGCTCTGGTGACCAACAAGTCACCCGCTAAGTTTATTTGTTGTAAAAGTAAGAGAAAATTAAGAAAGTAAAGCAATGAACTTATCATTTAAGAACATGTGTCTGGATATTTATTTTTTATTTTTAATTAATATTATTTTATTAATATAATTATTTAATTAAAAAAAATATTAATTAAGAGTAAAAGGGTTACAATCAAAAGGGGTGTCAAGATTTTTCTTAGCAGCCTTCAATTTAAAATTGACCCTCTTGGTGTTTTCCATGGTTTTGGTTTGTTGTTGTTGTTGTTTTTTTTGGTTGGCTTTCTTGCTTTCACACCATATGGACCGACCCATTCGTATTTGAACTGATTTGACTTTTTCCGCGTTGACTATTTAAAGTCTTTTTGAATCCAATGCTTCAATTCACACATGATTTAAACATCAAAGAACGGTCAAATCTTGTTACGATGTTCATTCAATATATATATATATATATATATATATATATATTTATTTATTTATTTATTGTTAAGATGTAATTAGTTTCAAAGTATGTAAATGTAATCCAAAGAGTGACTCCTCGTGGACGTGAAAGAAAAGGGATCCCTTTTTTGGACCAATAAACACATAAATGAACATGGTAATCTAATTGTATGTATATAACATTTGTTGTATCCAAACTAAGAGTGACAATTTGTGTTAATGGGTCGTATTCGTGTTAATTTATTTATTAATCGTGTTAAAAAATATTAACCCAAACACGACTTGTTTATTAAACGTGTCAAAAATGTCAACTAAAACACGACCTATTTATTAATCGTGTTTATCATGTCAATCCGTATAACCCGTATAAATTAATATATTGAATAAATAACTAATATAATAATGACTTACTTAACACGGTCAAGATATGTTTAACATATTTATTGGTCAATTTATTTTTTCCTTTAAGAAAAATAAATGCATTAAAATTCACACTATTTGTATATGTCATATAAACTTTTATGTTATATCACATATCATTAGATTGCAGATGGCACATATAATCAATCGTATCAATTAGTGTCACTTCGTGTTAGTAAATCAACCATAACCTAATCCATTTATTAATCATGTTAATCGTGTCGACCCGATTATGACAAAAACTCATTTATAATAAACTCAAACCCGCTAACTTCGTGCAAATTTCAAATTGTGTCGTTGTGTCGCTATCTGAATTGTCAGCCCTAATCTAAACCATTTAAGCTTTCTTTAATATATGCATTTTGATTCATGATTTCCAAAGTTATTTTCGCTCTATAATTATTAAAGTTTAATCTATGGTCCATTTTTTTACCAAAAAAAAAAAAAAAAGAAATCTAGGGTCCACATTTTTTTTTTGTTTTTTATTTTTCCCTTTTTGGGCTTGGAATTTCATGGACCACTTATTCAGCACCAAAGAAAAGAATCTGATTAAGATTTGGGAAATAGTAGAGAATAGGCCACTATGAAAAGATTAAAAAAGTAGACAGGCCAATTTTTAGTTATAGAAATTAATAGGCCATAATTTTTGAATTTCTAAATTTACCCTTTTTTTCTTTCTCTCTTTCTCTCTCTCTCTCTCTCTCTCTCTCTTAGTTGTACCGTACACGCAACTCTCTCTCTCACTAGCTTCACGCATCTCTTCACCGGTGATGATCCGTCGGTCGGTCGGTCGTTCTCTTTCCTTCTTCGGTCATATTTGAGCAGCTATTCCGGTTATTTTTACCGAACAAAAGGTTTGTCTCTCTAGTTTCACGCAGCTTTTCACTGGCGCCGATCCGTCCTTCAGTCATTCGTTCTATTTCTCGTTGGATTTGCTCTTCTCCGGTCGTCTTTGAGCAGCTGTTCCAGTTATTTTTACCAAACAACAGCCTTTGTGTATTCTTGGTTTCTAGTTTTATTTTTTGTTGTATTTTCATTTTCATTTTTTTTGGATTATTTCGGTTTTGTTCTCTCTTTTGTCCATTAATCTTGTGTTTTTTGTTGTTTTCCAGTCATTTTTTGAGCAGATCCTCCGTTGATTTTCACCAAACAACAGGTTTGGGCATTCTTTGTTTCTAGTTTTTTATTTTTTATTTTTTTTGTTGTAATTTCGTTTTCACATTTTGCATTATTTCAGTTTTTTAATATTTTTAGGATTGAATATAGTTCTTGTAATTTATTGATTTTTGTAGGCATACAATCTGTTTCAGTCATTGATGGTTTTTTTATAACTTGTCCAGTTATGGGACATAACTTGACGAGTTATTGTCCACAATTGACAGTTTTTTTACATATCTTGTTCGGTTATGCATTTTTAACGTGACAGTGTTCCTGCAATATGTTTGTAGGCATGCAATCTATTTCAGTCATTGTTGCTTATAGGGGAAAATGGAGTCTAGAAAACCAATATACAAATTTTGGTTTTCAATCAGTTTTTATTCCGGAGGATGCTTCTTTGAAGTTTTTACAGGAGTGTTTATGTGATGAGCTGCATCTTGAGTTGATTGGTTTTAATGCTGGTGTTCATTCTTTATTACTTTTTGTGAGAAGGAAGTTGAAGGACCCAATTGAAATGGTTTCGGAGCTAAAGATGGATGATGATGTTAAGTTGTTTTTAAACTTGGTTCGACACAGTAAGGAAGCTCTTGGATACCCGTTGGTAATAGATTTTGTTAGTAGCTCTGTTAGTGCAGCGGGATCTACTTCTTCTTCATGTTGTTTTATGAGTTCAAGAGATGAGGCGTCTTCTTCTAATGTTGATGGTTCCGTTTGTCAATTTGAAGATGATATTGATGTTGTGATGAATAATTTTTTGATTGAAGATTTGGATATTTCCAAGCTGCCTATGTCTTTTGATGTGAATATAGGCCATCAATTCATGAGCAAGTCGGTTCTCAAGAAACTCATGCATGTAATTGCTATTAGGAGGCATTTTGAGTTTAAATCTGAAAGATCTAATAATTCATTTTATGTTTTGGTTTGTAAGAATAAGAATTGTACTTGGAAGATGCGTGCTGCTAAGGTTTCAAATGGTAATGTTTAGGCAGTGAAGAAGTATGTTAAGGAACATACTTGTTCACTTGATGTTGTTAGTGCTAAGCATTGTCAAGTAAATAGTCGTGTTGTTTCGGAGTTTTTAAAGAGCGATTTTAACATTGGGCTTGCGGATCATTTGCGTCCTAATGATTTGAGGTCTATAATGCATGGTAAGCATGGTGTCGAGATTAGTTACTACAAAGCACGAATGGCTCGCCGATACGCGTTAGCATCAATGAGAGGAAGTGCAGTGGAGTCGTATGCTTCCATTCCTTTTCTGTGCAATGTTTTCAAGGAGAAAAATCCATATCATTTTTGTCTTATGTGTTATGCTTATGCTTTTGTTTATTATCTTAACGTTTTGAAGGAGAAAAATCCAGGTTATGGTACCTTAACTTGACAGGTTATAGTCTATAACTTGTCATGTTATCGGATAAGTTGACAAGTTTTTGTTAAAATTTGTCCGGTTATGGAGTATAACTTGACAGGTTATGATTCATAATTGACAGTTTTTTGCATAACTTGTCCGGTTGTGCACAATAACTTAATTAATTTTTTTTAGATATTAGAATGTATAAATAGTTATTGTTTTTTGGTGCCGTGTATAAATAGCTATTTTTAATGTTTTTGTTTTGGTTTTTTCTTTGTAGGATCTGTGACTTCTTATGAGCTTGACAATGATGGGCGGTTCAAGTATTTTTTTTTGTGCTTGGGGGCTTCTATTAATGGTTGGCGCCATTGTAAGCCTGTGATCTCAGTTGATGGTACATTTTTGAAGAATGAGTTTTCTGGGACCTTGCTTTTCTCTGTAGTTTTAGATGCTGATAATCATATTTTTCCGCTTGGTTTTGCAATTGTTGATTCGGAGAACGACTCCTCGTGGGAATGGTTTTTTGAAAGGCTTAAGGAGGCTATTGGAACTCGCGAAGAACTTGTTATTGTTTCTGACAGAAAGAGTAGTATCCCTAAAGCAGTTGAGAAGGTTTTTCCGGATGCATCTCATGGATTTTGTATGCAGCATTTACTTAGAAATTTGAATTCAAATTTTAAAGGTGTGCATGTGGATGCTATATTCTATCGTTGTGCCAAGGCATATCGTAAGGAAGACTTTGGTTACTTCATGCGTCAATTGGAGGCAGTGTGACCAACTATTCGAAACTATTTGCTGCAAGTAGGGGTTGAAAAGTGAGCACGTGCTCACTTTGAGAGGAAGAGATATGATGTAATGACGACTAATATCTCTGAGTCGTTGAATAATGTCTTAGTGAATCCTAAGGAGTATCCTATTAAAGCTTTAATTGAGCATTTCAGATCCCTCTTGCAAAGGTGGTTTTATGAACGTCGAAATAAGGTGGATCAGACTTTTACATACTTGACTAATCATGCAAATAAATGCCTTCGTGATAGGGAAAAGATTGCATGTTGCTTATATGTAAGTTACTTTTGTCCCTTTTTTTTTTAGAAGTTATTCTTATTGTTTGATTTGGTGATTCTTGTATTTTTAAAAATTCTACTTGCTTTCAAGGTGGTTGCTTCTTTTTTGATTTGGTCTTTTTTTTTAATTTTTCACTGTTGGGGACTTATATATTGAATGCTCTGTTTTCTTTCTTTTTTGTCATGTTTTCATGTTCAACCCATGGATATAAATAAGTATTATGTTATTGATGGTTTTGTTGGTGAGGTGGTTGACTCTGTGGCAAGAACATGTAGTTGTCTTGTTTGGCCAGCTGACGAATTTCCATGTCCACACGCCATTGTATCGATTTGGAAGAGAAATCTTGATCCAGCATATTTTACTTCCTACTATTACACCAACAATGCATTCAAAGCAACATATGATGCTGTAATCTATCCTCTTGGTAATAGATCACAGTGGCAAATTTCAGAGGGCATTGAGGAGGAGGTTGTTCTTCCTCCTGAGTTTAAATGTGGTGCTGGGAGGCCAAGGAAACAAAGGATTCTTTCTAGTAGAGAATGAGAGAAGCAATCTGTGAAGTGTAGCCGATGCAAGCAAGTTGGCCACAATAGGAGGACTTGTTCAAACCCCACATCTGTTGATATTAACTGATTAAGATGTTTAAAGTTGATTTTTTGTCATTATGGTTAAGATTAACACTGTTTGATTCATTGCAATGTACTATAGTTTATTTTGTTCAAAGATACATTTTTGTTTGGAATTGATTCTAGCATTTATTGAATAATTCATGTGAAGAATTTTTGGATTTTTGTTATGGAGAGGAAGTAGAACAATTTATTTTTAAACTATTATTTTTGTTTTTGTTGGAATTGTATGTTTTGAAGGAAAAAACTATAATTTACAGATTATGGTCTAACTTGACAGGTTTTTGTCCATAACTTTTTCTGTTATGGACCATAACTTGTGTTGTTATGGACGATAACTTGTCAATTTATAGACCATAACTTGAAGGGTTATGGTCCACAATTTACAGATTTTTTATTATTCGGTTATATATTAAAACCCTAGTCGGTTTTTGTCCATAACTCTTCCATTTTTCCCCCTGTTCCTTTACACTTTTTCTTTTGTATTTCTTCATTGATTTTTCTTCTTCATCATTTTCTCTTTCTTCATAATCTTCCTCCTGCAATAATAAGTTTTTTTATTAGTTGTAAGAAACTCTCTTTTTTTCTCTCAACTAGTATTGATGTGGGTTTATTTTTTTCCTTTTTCCAAGTAGTATTAAGAACGTTCATAGCTTTTTGATTCCTTGAGCAGCAGCTTTTCTCATTGCTATTATCTTTTCAGCTTCTTCAAATGTTCTGACCAATGTTTGTTGAGTGATATCAAACGAGTCTGTGAATGGAGTATAATCGAATTGTCCCTCATGTTCTCCTAGCTCTGCAGATACTTCTTTTTCTATGTCCTCCTGTTCTTTGAGGTACAAATTAGTATATCATTAAGGAAACCTTACAAAAATAAATTCAACATCAATTTGCGTTGTTTCATTACCTCAGAAACTGGATTGTTTTGTATTTCTTTGAGAAACAGAAGCACATCTTGTTGAATGGTTCTCATAATGTCCATAGAATTCACAACCATTGCCTTTATTTCTTTCAAATCATGTTTCATGGCTACCTGGTTGGCTTCAAAATATTTTACTTTGTTAAGCAGATTACTTAGATGAATTTCCATCTTGTCCAGTTTTGTTGACGCTGCTCGTGGCATTTCTTTTTGAACTTCATCATGATTTATTTCTCTCAAAATGACCACAACTTGACAGTGAAACAAATAGTAATTTTCAGATTCAATAATGACATAACTCGACAGGTTATTATCATAACTTGATCATAACTTGATTTTTGAAGTTGTGTCAATTTATTGATAGAGCATTACTATACGATATGTTCCAATTACAGGGAAACAAAAAGTAACGAGCTCCTATTCATTCAAGTGTGAACCTAAAACATAACCTGAATTAGTGGTTTTCCAGTTAGTGATGAACGGATTTACCTTGTTCTTTTGTTAATTTCCGTTGTCTGTGGTCCATCTTCAATTTCTCGTCTAACGACACCGGCGAGGTTTTAGCAGATGGAAGAGAAAGGAACGGTGGCGGACGAGAATCTGAGATTGGTGGAGGGATGAGAGAGAGAGATGCAGAGGGAAGAGAGACAGATCGCGTTTTAGCAGGGGAAGAGAGAGTGATCGTGGGAGAGTGGCGGAGGGAAGAAACAGTTCGCCGGAGAGCGTCGAAGGGAAGAGAGAGTGATCGTGGGAGAGCGGCAAAGGGAAGAAACATTTCGTCAGAGAGCACCAGAAGGAAGATAGAGAGAGAGTGGAGGTCGGTGAGAGAGAGAGAGCGCGGAGGTCGGTGAGAGAGATAGAGCTGAGAGATAGAGGAGAGAGAGAGGTGTTTAGGGTTTTTTTTTATTGAAAAGGGCATTTTTAAAATTTTATGTGTAGATAAATCTGAATATATTATAATTTGGGTTTTTTTGATTGAAAAGGATATTTTTAGAATTTTATGTATAGATAAATCTGAATATATCATAATTTGGCATATTTATTAACTTATGTAAACTATTGGCCTATTAATTTTAATTCATCTCAAATCTTGATCTATTTCCCTCTTTCTCCCTTAAGATTTTTCAATTATGGCCCATTACAACTCCCAAATAGTGGCTATATTTATTTTTTTAAAAATACTTAGAAAATACCGTCACTAATAAAAGATAAACTTCATTTATAGATACTATGCTGTAAGACGAACTCTCTAATGAGCACGAGAATTTTTCAATTATGGCCCATTACAACTCCCAAATAGTGGCTATATTTATTTTAAAAAAATACTTAGAAAATACCGTCACTAATAAAAGATAAACTTCATTTATAGATACTATGCTGTAAGACGAACTCTCTAATGAGCACGAGAATTTTTCAATTATGGCCCATTACAACTCCCAAATAGTGGCTATATTTATTTTAAAAAAATACTTAGAAAATACCGTCACTAATAAAAGATAAACTTCATTTATAGATACTATGCTGTAAGACGAACTCTCTAATGAGCACTACTCGTGCTTTATAGTATTGTTTACCATTTAAGTCAAAAACAAATTTCCTCAAGGAAAAAAAAAAAAAAAAAAAAAAAAACCTCGCCCACAGTTGATGACAAAGACTCGTTAGTGTTATTCTTATTATTCGGTAAAATGAGAGTTTGGGACCTTGAGGGATACAAAATATTATATAATTTTATTGTTGATAGTTCTTCGCAATGTTACACGTGCAGCGTCCACACCCAAATATTATTTGTATACATGAGAGGCTGATGCTGGCCAGATCATTACTTGCTCAAATCTATGTATTGAAGAAAACAATATAGAACATTAAAAAAAAAAAAAAACCAATGAAAAAAGAAAAATAAGAAACAAGAGTAAAGTTAGCTTATTATTATGATTCAAAAAAGTTCAAGTTCTTAAGGAGTTTTCTATGAAATAAGTGTACGATGGAAGAAGAAGAAGAAGAATATTTTGGCTTTGTAATTTGTAGTTTTTAATTTTTTTTTTTTAATTTATCGAGAAGGAAGGATAAAACCACAAAGGATAGACCCTACCCATTCTCTCTCTCTCTCTCAAAAAAAAAAAAAAAGAAAAAAAAAAGAAGAATATTTTGGCTTTGTTATTATTATTATTATTATTATTATTATTTTGGTTATCCCTCTTCACTTTCATATTTTATCAGAAAAAGAAGACTCTAAATTCCTTCCTACCTCGATTAATATGAAAATTAAGCATGACCTATTTTAAATCAAATCCTCTCTTTTGTTTTATATTATCATTTCTTTTTTTTTTTTCAAAAGAATAGATTAGGGTAAACTCTCTTTTACCCCTCAATTTATTGCGCTACAAATCCTTTGGACTCTCCTAGTTGCACGTATTCTCAACACTC